GTCTGTGGAAGCTAGAGCTGTGTTGGTTCTAGTACTTGTAATTTCCTGCTTTGCTTCCTAGATAGGGGGCACATCAAGTCAAAACTATTTTTGTAATAATACACAGTCAGAGCTTGCCTTTCTCACTGTGCTGGCATTTTTGCTCATGATATAAAAGCAGTGGTGAATAAATATTTGGAACCATAATATGAGTCAAGGCACCAAACCTGCTAGTAGACATTGTATTATTCACTGCCATGTATTTGCAGTTTTAATTTAAAAAGCATTTTTTTTAATGTCTTTGATGAAGTCGAAATGATTAATTTTATTGTCTTAATCTCAAGTACATATCTTTTTAATATTTTTTGACTTAATATGGATTATGCATGATGTTGTTCTGCATACTGAAGAGAAAATAGGAGAAAACATTTCTGCAGTTTTTTGAGTTGTAAGCCACTGACTTTCGTCATGGAACCCCATTTTACTTGGGGGAAAAAAAAAAAAAAGTCAGTTTACAAACTATGGTTATTCCAATTTTGATATTTGGCACGTGTTTTCTGGAAATTGAATGAAGTGAGCTTGTAACTTCAAGGAAAACAATTGACAGTATTGCCAGTGGAAAAAAATAAAACTTTGAAATGAAAATTAGTATTTGGAAAAAGTTTCACTCTAAGTTTGATAATTTCCTGATACTTAAAGACTGTACTAGTCATTACCAAAAGTGAATTTTTTTGATTTTATATAGTGAAATGAGTTAATATTTAGAAGATCTGTGTAACTCGGTCAATATTTTTCAGATGATCAAAATCATGTATCAGTAAAAGATCTATTAGTTCATTTTTTGTTTATTTTGAAAAATGTAATTATTTTTTTCAGAAAAAATTATATAAACATAATGGATTTTTGTCCTTTTAATATTAATAAATGAAAATATAAAATGTTAAATTTAATTTCTAATTGGTAAAAATTGGTAGATTTCTAAAAGACTTTTGGCATCTTCAATAATTCTTAAGAGTATAAAAGGGTCTAGAAAAAAAAGTGTCTAGCAACCAAAATATTTTAAAACTGTTAGCGTAGTAAAAGGAATAAGGATCTTAGAGTCATGACTCCCACAATTTCTAGATATGTAATCTTAGAAAATTACTTAACTGTTATTAGCTTGATTTTTCTTACCTGTAAAGTAATTGTCTCACAGGGTATGGAGCAAATTAAATAAGATAACATATATAAAGTAGATAGCATTGCATTGGGCAAATATAATAGATGAGCCAGAAATGCTAGCCATCCTATCTAATAAAGAGGTAATATGCAAATTGACCATCACTCCAACACACAAGATGGCCGGCAATTGTGGGTGATTAGGCCAGCAGGGGAGAACAGTTCAGTTTTGTTTACCAGGTTAGAATCAAGGCATCCAATTGCAGATTTAAAAATTTCATTGTGAAAACTTCACAGAGAAGGCTATTTTAAGTTTTGATTTTCTTTGTGTAACTAGCTTAAGCAGCAGATAGAGGACTTAAAAATGGAATAATAAATGGAAGTGACTAGAACATTTGAGCCCTTGTTACATGATACATTTGATCAGTAAAGTAAATGGCGGTGTTGGTTGGCTAGGTGAAGATGATGTTGATCATTTGCATTTAAAATATTGAAATCACAACGTGATATTTGGCATCCTTAATTGTAGTATGTGTTTCTGATTATGTTCTTAACTGTAAATTGAGAGAGATTGGATTATTGAACTCAGTCATTTCTGGTTCATGAATTTTTTGGAAATGTGATTGATTTGGTTTTGAAATGAGAAGTTTCATTTGTAACTTCAGTAGATATTTTTAACTTTGCATCTAGATGTTCTTGGGTGGTTTAAGGAAACAGAGTAATTATCTAGCTACCCAGTTATCCTCCTGGGCAGTAACTGATGTTATTTTCTTATTTTCTTTTCCAGTTACCATTTACAGTATGTTATTTATTTGTTAGTTAGTTTGTTTGTTTTTCCTTTAAGATAGAGAAGTGAAGAAAGGTAACTGTTACTGCCTTTTCTATAGGTAGGACAAAAAAATATTCAGAAATTTGTATTTGACCCCTAGACTTCTTGGAGTTTCAGGTTTTCTAATTTTTCTATTTGGGAATCTCATGGAAATATTAAAATATACTTGTCCAAAATGGAGTTATCATTTTCACCTCACACCTGGCCAGTCTTTTAGTAAATCACGTTAAGTATCCAGTTGCTTAAACTTCCGTCGTTGGGATTATTCTTTTTCTCACCCCATTTTCCTACCCATACACATCAATCATCAAGTTATTTTATTTTATTTATTTTTTAAAAATATATTTCTTTATTGATTTCAGAGAGGAAGGGAGAAGGAGAGAGATATATAGAAGCATTAGTGATGAGAGAGAATCATTGATCAGTTGCCTCTCTCCCGCCCCCTACTGGGGATTGAGCCCGAAACCCAGGCTTGTGCCCTTGGCCAAAATCGAATCCAGGACCCTTCAGTCCACAGGCTGACGCTCTAGCCACTGAGCCAAGCCAGCTAGGGCAACAAGTTATTTTATTTTATTTATTTACTTATTTTTTAAAAAAAATATATTTTATTGATATTTTACAGAGAGGAAGGGAGAGAGATAGAGAGCTAGAAACATCGATGAGAGAGAAACATCGACCAGCTGCCTCTTGCAACTGGGGATGTGCCCACAACCAAGGTACATGCCCTTGACCGGAATGGAACCTGGGACCTTTCAGTCCACAGACCGACGCTCTACCACTGAGCCAAACCTGTTTCAGCAACAAGTTATTTTAAATCAGTCTATTTTCTGTCTCCATTCCCACCACTTGAGACCAACCAATTTTTATCTTTTCCCTGGAATACTGCACCAGACTCATAACTAGTTTCTCTATGCCTCTCCTCTGTTCTAGCCTCTATATGGTAACAAGTATAATCTTAAAATATATTTGTATCAGGTCATGTCCTTTTAATGTCTTCACTTAAAAGTATGTTCATATTTCTTATCATAGTTACAGAGCTCTGTGTGGATTTGGTGGTTGCCTATTTCTCTTATATTATCTTGTACAAAAAATATTTTCTTTCTATGTTCTGGCCCTGTTTTCTTTCAGTTCCTTGAGTATTCTAGATTACTTTGGCCTCTGGAATACTTTTCTTTTCATTCTTTGATTTCTTAGCTTCTACTTATCTTTTAGATCCCATTTAATTGATTTTTAGATAGAAAAGGAGAGATAAAAATTGATGAGAGTGTAAAACATCAGTTAGCTGCCTCCTGCAGGTCCCTTACTAGGGATCAAGCCTGAAGCCTGGGCATGTGGCCTATCCTGGGCCACAGAATACTTTTTCATTGGACTTGTTATTCTTACTCATATAAATATTTCTAACATTATGACCTAGCATTTTGAAAAGATAGCTAGATTACCCTAAAGGGTAGCTTGTCACATCTTGGAGAGATTGAAGTTTCTCTTTGGAAAATAGCTTATACCAGTGACTTTTGGTAGTCATGTCTTTTCTGGGACATGCTTCAATGTTTGCTTACTAACAGTTATATCATAGTGGTTTCGCTATTAACCTAGATTAAGTTCTGAGGTGTGAAAACTGGGGAGTACATTGCCTATTCACTAATGGAGGTTTGTACATCACATTTTTATTTCTGAAAACCATAATGTGAATTGTATTACAAAGTCTGCCATTAAAAAATGTATTTATTTTATCTAATGACTAAGACTAAGATACTATAGCCCAGCTTGTTTTTTGGTAAAATTTCTTATAGATACAATTTAAATTTAGTGAACTTATTTAGGTCTTGTAAATTTTACATGAAATACAATCTTGCTCTATTTGCCATGTTATTCTGGCTTTATTGAGCAAGAGAGGTGTATTTGTGTGTGTGTGTGTGTGTGTGTGTGTGTGTGTGTGTGTATATTTTAATTATCTTTGTAGGTTTTGTTTAGCTATGAGATTAGGGTAGATCATATGCTGATTTCTTAGAAAATGTAATCAAGTTTTTTTTATTCTGTACATGATTTCTTCAATCATGTGTAGTTTTATTAGAAAAAAATTGTTCATGTAGCAACTTCTATAATAATGCTAATATCTAAAATTAATATGCATAAACTTTAATTAGTAACTTTATTTTAAAATGTTACTATAGTTTTGATTTCTTCTATTATCAAGAAGTTTTTAGGCTGTATGATTTGGAAAATCATTTTGAAATTAAATTAGTCATTCTATAACATCAACTCTAGGATGTAGTCTGAATTCAATATCATAGCCTACAGGTTCTCATTGATTTGTCTTTTGCTATTATTTCCCATTTCATTATTTGCTATTCTCCTGCATGTTTTTTACTCACACTAATTGTAAACTTTTTTTTGTGTATTTCCCAAAACTGTTCTTGCATTTGAATGGAAGACTAGTCAGTGTTGCTTTCTTTTCCTATAAATTTCTAATCCCTTCTTCAAGACTTTTTTTCCACTGTGGTCTATATTGAATATTTAAGTCTCTCTGCACAGGCAAAATTAGGTGCTCTACCTTGTGTTCTATTATCATGCTACACTCCCTTCTATTCTACTAAATAATATAACAGTGATTTACTTTCATATTGGTTTCTAATAGAATTTTGACAACTTGAGGATGGGATTGGATCTTGCTGGTATTTATTTCCAAGAATGAATTTATAATAAGTATTTAAGTTGTTTGCTGGAATGAGCAAAGAATAATACGACAGATAAATTAGCTGCAAAGGAAGCTCTAATTTGTTTAGAGAAGAAATCCCTAAAGCAAAATGGGTACTTTTTAGAGAGAGGTGGGGGTGGGCTGTCAAAGGAGTTTGCTGTATTATGTGTGGAAACCTTAACATCTTCTGACTTTGAATTTGCTATATAAACAAGATCATTTGCAATCACATTTACTTTGCTTAAAATCTGTCAGGAAATTTATGAAGGAGATGAAACTACTTCTAAATACACACTTTCTTATGTTTTTATACTAATTTAACTTTTTATTTTATTTTAGGAAACACTCCTTTACATCTTGCTGTGATGTTAGGAAATAAAGGTTAGTAAATATATATATATTTTTAATCTTTAACTTCACTAATGTATAGTCAGTTTTAAATTTTCCATGTGATTTTTTTCTTTTTAGATTTAAAAAATTAACCTGATTATTTTATTTGCTAATTGAGCTTAGGATTCATTATATGAAAAATAAATATTTTCTATTAGTGGAAATCTTATATTAACCTTTATGCCTTTTGAAATTATGTGTTTTTGTTTTTACTTGGTTATTTTGTCAAGCAAGTATTTATAATTTTAGGAGACTCTTATTTTCATATAGTAAGGTTTATTCATTATTGTAATACTTAAAATATTCAGAGTTTTAAATCTATAATGTGGACTTGTATATTAAAAACTCTTAAGTCTAGCTTTTTGTATATGATAGTAAAAATTTAACGCTTGTTTATTTTTTAATTAAGAAAACAACATGTAGACAAGGTGATTTAATTGATTTTAGAGAGAGGAAAAGAGAGGGAGAGAAAGATAGAAACAGAAAGAAACATTTGTTGGAGCCTCCAGGATTGAGCCTGCAGTTGGGCATGTGCTCTGATGAGGAATCGAAATGCGGAGATGGATGAAATTGTGAGAGGGATGTCCTACTGGGATCGGGCCTAAATGGACAGACATCCCTCGAAGGGTCCCAGATTGGAGAAGGTCAGGCTGACACACATCCCCATGCATGAATTTCATGCACTGTGCCTCTAGTATATATATAAAGAGCCAGTGACCAGAATGCCATAACAACCATAACCATATCGACCAGCCACTATGACATCAACTGCAACCAGTCAACTTCCTGCAGCCCCTTCCCACCCTTCCACACCGCAGATCGGCACTTCCCACCCCGATCAGGGGAAGGGCTGGCCAGCCAACTGCCTGCAACCCCTCCCCCAGGCCGGCCCTCAATGGGCCCCCACAACCCCATTCCCATGGCCTCTCCCCCCCATCATCAGCTCTGTTCTCGATTGGCCCCTCCACTCAGATCAGGGGCCCTCCCCTGCAGGATTGATCACCTCCAACTGCCCCCCCTGCTGGCCATCTTGTGGTGGCCATCTTGTGTCCACATGGGGGCAGTCATCTTTGACCACATGGGGGCAGCCATCTTGTATGTTGGAGTGATGGTCAATTTGCATATTTTCCTTTTTTTAGATATGTTTAGATAGAATAGAGGCCTGGTGCACAGGTGGGGGCTGGCTGGTTTGCCCTGAAGGGTGTCCCGGATCAGTGTGGGGGCTGCTTGGGGGAAGGGCCTGTGGTGATTAGAAGCCGGCCATGCCCTCTCGGCGACCCAAGTGGAAGCCCTGGTATCTGTGATTTATTTATCTTCTATTATTGAAACTTTGTAGCCTTGAGCGGAGGCCAGGGCAGGACAGGCCTATGGGAAGCTTGGCTTCCTCTGTCGCCAGGGGCAACTCAAGCCTCCTGCTCTCTCCAGCTCTGTGGCTGCCGCCATTTTTGTTGGCATTTATTTATCTTCTATAATTGAAACTTTAGCCTAGAGCAGAGGCCAGGGCCGGCAAGTGCAGGTGGGAAGCTTGGCTTCCTTTGTTGCTGGGGAAACCCAAGCCTCTTGCTCATTCCATGGCTGTTTGGGTTAATTTTCATACTCGCTCTTGATTGGCTGGTGGGTGTGGCTTGAGGGCATAGTGGAGGTACCGTCAATTTGCATGTTTCTTTTTTATTATAGTAAATATGTATGTATGTGTCTAAACACACACTGATATGTGTAGTTTTTTAGTTATTTTTAAAAATAGGATCATAATATAGTTCTGCATTTTCATTTAGCAGTACAATGTGGATATTCCACATTGAATGTATTTTTTTTTTGTAAACATATTTTATTGATATTTTTACAGAGAGGAAGAGAGAGGGATAGAGAGCTAGAAACATCAATGAGAGAGAATCATTGATCAGCTGCCTTTTGCACACCCCCTACCGGGGATGTGCCCGCAACCAAGGTACATGCCCTTGCCTGGAATCGAACCCGGGACCTTTCAGTCCGCAGGCCGACGCTCTATCCACTGAGCCAAACCGGTTTTGGCGGATATTCCACATTGAGATAGCTTAAATTTATTCCTTTAAAATCATTTTTACATTTCTTTTTTTAAACACTTTATTATGAAAACTTTCAAATATATTTGAAAGATTATCACAGTGAGCATTGAAATAATCTCCATCTAGGTTCAGTAATTGTTAATATTTTATCATATTTATATTATCTTTCTCTTTAAGTAGTTTATATGTATTACTGTTGCTATACCATTTGAAAATTAGATGTAGAGATAATGACATTTTACCACCAACTACTTTAGCATGCATTCTAACTCATTTTCCAATATAGCCATGATATTGTTATCACACCTAAGAAAATTAATATTACATAATATCTGATATCTAATTCAGATTTGATTTTTTTTTTCAGTTTAAAAATGTCTTTTATAGATGTTTTTTATCAAACCAAGGAACATTTGAGGCTTACTCATTGCATTTGGTTGATATGTCTCTTTATCTTAATCTGGAAAAATTTGCCCAGCTTTTTCTTCCTCCCGTGTACCTATTAAGAAGTCTTGCCCAAGTAATTTGTAGACTGTACCCCCATCTCAGATTTACTTGACTATTTTCTCATGATATTATTTAACTTTTTCTTTGTTTTCAGTCTCTCCTAAAAATTGAAAATGAACTATAGAGGCTTAATTAGATTCAGGTTAAATATTTCTGGGAAGCATGCTGCATAGGTGATGTTATGAACTTTTTTTTTCTTTTGGATCAGGAGAGGGGCTGGGAAGTGGAGAGGGTTTGGGGAGATGAGGGGAAGGAGCCAAAAGAAGGGGCACTGGGGCTCTGGGAAGGGGCCCAGGGAGCTCTATGAACTTTATTATCTGATATCACTTTGGCAAACACTTAATGTCTAGTATCTTACTATTAATGCCACTAAGTTTGTTCACTTGTTTAAGAGATGAAATAAATAATGAGCTTTTCATATGATATATTATAATCAAATCTTTTTTGTTTGATGTAAATTACTCTTGAGGTTCTTAGGTAAATTACTCTTGGGTTATCTCTTAGAGTAGAAAACACTTTCAAAATACTCTTGAGAACAATTATTAAGAAACAATTCTTCCATTGCAGAGAGATCCAAAATATTTTTAGAATGGATACTTCGTGAATCTGAGGATCTGAAATAACCTGGTTAAGATACACAGAAATTATTACTTTAAAAAATATTTTTATTGATTTCAAAGAGGAAATGAGAGGGAGAGAGAGATAGGAACATCAATGATGAGAGAATCATTGAATGGCTGCCTCCTATACTCTCCCCACTAGAGATTGAACCCACAACCCGGCCATGTGCCCTGACCAGAAATGGAACTGTGACCTCCTGGTTCACAGGTTGATGCTCAACCACTGAGGCACACTGACTGGGAGATACATAGGAATTAAACATTTAACTCTCCACTGTGCATTATTTTTTATTTATTTGTTTATTTATTTATTTAATATATTTTATTGATTTTGTACAGAGAGGAAGGGAGAGAGATAGAGAGTTAGAAACATCGATGAGAGAGAGTTATCGATCAGCTGCCTCTTGCACACCCCCTACTGGGGATATGCCCGCAACCAAGGTACATGCCCTTGACCGGAATCGAACCCGGGACCCTTCAGTCCCCAAGCCGACGCTCTATCCATTGAGCCAAACCGGTCTCGGCTCCACTGTGCATTATTTATTTTATAGTTTTGTTTTCTATTAATTTGGTTTCTTGAATTTTTATGTGAGTTTTATATTGAGCTTCTAAAAATTACATGATGTTTGATATTATTACCACTTTATGTTTCAGAATGTGCCCATTTACTTTTGGCTCACAATGCTCCAGTAAAAGTGAAAAATGCTCAGGGATGGAGCCCACTGGCGGAAGCCATCAGCTATGGAGATAGACAGATGAGTAAGCAATATAAATTACTGTTGTTATATAATCTAAAAATATGAAGTGATGCATTTGAAATATTTTTCATTTAGCATAACTTTCCATGCTCTGAAAAGTGTGTAGTTATTTATAAGCTTATATATGGAACTTGAACATTGGATGATACCTAAAAATAATTGAGGAATTATGTTTAAAAGTATGTTTTTTTTTTCCTCTTCTTAACAGCATTCTGCTCTATTCTTCGTTGTTGTTTCTTTATATCATTTTTAAAATTTTTAATCTTCACCTGAAGGGCAGATAAAGTAATAAGCAATTTATATTGAGGCTTAACAGTAACTATATAGTAGATTTTATTTCATTCTTATTTGACAAATGAAAAAAAACAAACTTATGTTTGGGAAAATTTTATAACTTGTCCAAATTTATACACAGCTACCGGTAATACGTTGTAAAGCTGAGGTTTGCACTTTAATGCAGTGTTTACATTTGAATCTCTTAACTATTAAGAAAATACTAAGGAGGTCTTCAGGTTTTAGATTCAGAAGTTATTGTTAAAGATAGAATAGGATTAATTTCTGTTTGTTTTTTTCTGTATTAGTATTATGTGAAAATACAAACTCTACTGAAAATTTGAACAGATATATAGTACCTGGAAACAGTTGTAGATACTTATGTTTTTAGAAAAGTGGTACCCAGAGGATTTTTGAAATCTGCTAACTTTGAGATCATTTAGATCAGTATTACAACAGGATATTGCATTATCTGATTGAGATTGGTAAATCTTGGCTCAGTTAGGTAAATTCATACAGATAATTTAAAACGAGGAAAACTAGTGTGAATAATAATAGCCTTACTAAACTTATTTACTAACTACATCTCTCAATATGTCTGTATAAGAGTCAGTGAAATAAAATTTTATTTGTGAAATAATATTTTTTAGTATGGTGCAATCTATTTTAAATTAAAATTTTTTTTTAAATTTAAATTTTAGTTACTGCTCTTTTAAGGAAGCTTAAACAGCAATCTAGGGAAAGTGTTGAAGAAAAACGACCTCGATTATTAAAAGCGCTGAAAGAGGTAGGCTATTTTTTGTTGTTGCTGATTTCGTATTCAAAGAATAATTGTAAGTGTGATTTTAAGCATTTTAAAAAATACAGTCTAACTTTTCACTAATTATTAAGGGTCAAGAAATGGTAAAAATCCTGCTTAAGTAATAATAACATAACAAAATACTCTGATTAGGATGTAAAAATATACTCTTATGGGAAGCACCATTCACTTTGAACTAGGAAAGTAAAAAAAGTATCATTGCTTTCTTAGATGAGCACTCTAAGAAAAAAGAGCTGGGTCATAGTTAATGGCAATATTTTTTCTTTGTCCTTTGGGTTAGAAGATTTCTAAGAGCTGCAGCCCCTGCTCCTAGCAGGACAGTTTGCATTTTCCTTACATAATTCTTTTTGTGTCCTCCTCTTGATGGTAAGAGCTGGGGGTGCTGGCACAGAAAGAGAGGTTTATTTTCTGATATTTTCTTCTGGATTTTTGATGCCTAAAAGAAATGTGGAAGAAAGATGATGATTAAGTCTTTTCTTAGCTATGCCTTTTTTTTTTTTTTTTTTTGAGCTCTGAAGACACAATGTTTTTTTAAGAATATTTGATTATACTAGTTTCTTTAACAGTTATAGTCTTTGGGTGTTTAGTTTTTAATTTGTGAAATAAAATTTTGCTTTATACTCATATAGTAACATATTATTTCAAGTTTAATAAACCTTTATGTTATTACTTTGCAGAGATAAAAGTTTATATTGTAATGAGTTGTGTTTTTAGGCCATTATGAGGCTATCTAATCATTTTGGAAATTATTTTTTATAACTTCTGAAGTTATTAACTATTTTTACAATAGTACTTACTGTTATTTTAGTTATGCGAGAAAAAGGATATTTATGCAAATTTAAATGTCTTATCAGTTTCAGATATTTTCCTATGTAATTAAAATGTTATAAAATCTATAGTGGTGCATATTTTCCTTTGTAGATAAATGTGTGCTATTGTAATGTTTTATTTTAAATAATGGACATTTTATTTTTCTCTAGACATTGAAATTTTCTATTTTTTGTCTATAGACCTTAAATGATAACAGATTTTTCAAAAGCAAAATATTAATTAGATAATAACAGCTATTAATTAAGGTGCATTTAGTAATTATTCATTTTTCATTTTCTAGCTAGGTGACTTTTATCTAGAACTTCACTGGGATTTTCAAAGTTGGGGTAAGAGTGTGCTATATTTTACTATAAAATATGTACATGCAGAATTGCAAATGTAAAAATAACTATTGTACATATTTGTTAACATAAGAAATTTGATACTTGCTCCAGGATAATTAATATTTTCCATTAATTATCCTGTAATAAACTGAAGTGGTTGTAAAGCACTGAAATGCTTTTCATTATCTCAACCTGATTAGTAATTTTTATAATTTTTACTTTAACATTAAAAATGTGTTACATTTTTAAACAATGAAATGCAGGTTTAAATTTAAGTACTTTTAGGAATGTTCAGAGGTAGAGAGTACAATTATGAGATTATTAGATTACTGAATTAAAGGAAGTTTGATATAGTACTTGGATCCTGAATGTGCAGAATTTGGTTAACATTTGATTTGGATATTTTATCAACTTTCAATCATTTTTGCCACTTTTCCTATATACTTTTTGGCTACTGTCTTTTTCCATTTTTAAATATATTTTTGTTGATTTCAGAGAGAAAGGAAGAGGAAGAGAGAGACTGAAACATCAATGATGAGAGAGAATCATTGATTGGCTGCTCCTGCACGCCCCCTACTGGGGGTCAAACCCGAAATCCGGCTTGTACCCTTGACTGGAATTGGGACCCTTCAGTTTGTAGGCCAATGCTCTATCCACTGAGCCAGACGGCTAGGGCTATAGCCACTGTCTTAACATACTGTTGGGTTGCACACTGTTTTTATTATTTATGAAAGACCTTAATTTCAAGATATTTTGCAGTTATTTATTTTACCTTAGTAAGTTTCTCTTTTCCCCTTTGTTTAAATAGGAAGCTTGTTTCTAGTGACCTTTACTAAGTAAACAACTGCCAAAACAATTAAATTTTGTTTTAAAATTTTAAACAAATGTATATATATGAGCTTACATTTTTTAAAGCATCTGAATTAATTTTATGATATAAAGATATATAAATGCTCTATGATACTTGCCTCCAAAATAATTGTAAAAATAAATAATAAAATAATTATAAATAAATCAGATATTGACAAATATGGAAATCACTGTTAATGTTTCATACTAATGCTTCGAAATCTTTTTTTGTTTACAAATGTGTGAGTGTGGGCACACAAATATATGCTTAGCATTTTTTTCTTAAAATATATTATTATTGATTTCAGAGAGGAAGGAAGAGGGAGAGGGAGAAACATCAATGATGAGAAAGAATTATTGATTGGTGGCTTCCTGCACATCCCCCACTGTGTATGCAGCACACAACCTGGGCATGTACTCCGACCCCAATGGAACCGTGACCTCCTGGTTAATGCACAACCACTGAGCCACACCAGCTGGGCCTGAGCATTTAAAAATATATATACATGTATGTGTGTGTATATATATTTTTTTTTTTTAATTAATTTTTTACAGAGAGGAAGAGAGAGGGATAGAGAGTTAGAAACATCGATGAGAGAGAATCATCGATCAGCTGCCTCCTGCACCCCCCATCTCCCCCATTGGGGATGTGCCCGCAACCATGGTACATGCCCTTGACCGGAATTGAACCTGAGACCCTTCAGTCCGCAGGCCAACACTCTATCCACCGAGCCAAACCGGTTTCGGCGAGCATTCTTTTTTTAATGGGAATCATACAATGGATGATTATGCAATTTGTCATTCTTATTTAATATATCTCAGGCATCCTATCATGTTAGTTCATGAGAAAGTACTTAACAAGTATTTATCTTGACAGCCACATATACTTTATAGTATGGATGATTAAGGTTTTCCTAATGTTTTAAATTTCTAAATACAAAGATTTAATTCCTAACTAAAATTAGTTTTTTTTATTTTTTATTTTTATATATTTTATTGATTTTTTACAGAGAGGAAGAAAGAAAAAGAGAGAGAGAGAGAGAGAGAGAGAGAGAGAGAGAGAGAGAGAGAGAAAGAGAGAGTTAGAAACATTGATGAGTCATTGATCAGCTGTCTCTTGCATGCCCCCTACTGGGGATGTGCCCGCAAACAAGGTACATGCCCTTGACCGGAATCGAACCCGGGACCCTTCAGTCCGTAGGCTGACGCTCTATCCACTGAGCCAAACCGGTTTTGGCAAAATTAGTTCTTTTTAAAATTGTTACAACTCTACCTGATCAGGCTAGTTTTGGCTTCATCAAAATCACACATGATTTTGTTATTCTGATAGGCCTACCTTGCCTTTATGCTTTATATATCATTCAGAAGTCCTGGTGGTCTAGACCACTGAGAGGAAAAGAGGTTTGTAGTGGCTTTGAATAATAAAAGAGCTCCAAGTCAACTTGGTCTAAAGTTAAAGTACATTTTTTTCACTCTGTTTTTTATTATTTTATTGAGACCCCATCTTCCTTGATGATCTTAAACTAAGGGTGTCCTTTGAGTATAATGTTCTTTAACTGATTATCTTAGTAATATTAGTGGTTTAAATTCTAAAATAGTCCATTTATCTTGCTGAGCAAAATGTTTTAAAATATTTTGAAAGTGACAGTTCAATTATATGAAGAAATAAAAATCACTCCTGAAAATGTACATACATCTATAGTTATAAACACATTATAAATGTTGCATAATCAAATTCATGATGCAACCCCTGAGGTACTTGTTGAAAGTATCGTGTTTTTTTTTGTGAGAACTTGACTTTGACACAAAAAAGTCAGCACATCTGTTCATTGCTGATAAAGGATTTTTCTGATTTTGTGTCAAAACTAGCTCCTGATGGTTAGATGTCATATGTAATTCTAAAAACTAAAACTCATTGGTTAGATTTAGCTTAGATACTTTGGACTTAAAAACACTTGATATATATATTTTATTGTTGATTTTTTACAGAGAGAAGGGAGAGGGATAGAGAGAAACATCCATGAGAGAGAAACATCATTCAGCTGCCTCTTGCACACCCCCTATTGGGGATGTGCCCCCAACCAAGGTACATACTCTTAACTGGAATCGAACCCGGGACCCTTCAGTCTGCAGGCTGATGCTCCATCCACTGAGCCAAACCGGTCAGGGCTGGATAATTTTTATTTTAGATTCAGTTATCAAATTTTATTCTAGAATTTAGGCACGTTTCTCCTCCTTGTCAAACCCCCCCCCCCAAAAAAAAAAAAAAAAAAAGGCAACCCAGAAGTAAGGCGGAATCTAAGAAATATTGAGATCCCAGGACTAAGTTTATTTTAGAGGAAGTGGAGCATGCAAACTCTACTGTTTCCTATGCTGTCATATTCAGTATTTGGCTGAAAATAGCTGCAGACTTGGTTAAAGTGGGGATAATAATTGCCCCATCTTTTGCCAATTTTTGTGTTGTTGTGAATGAAATGTAATCACGTTTTTGAAGGAAGCCCTGTATATATTGTAAAATGTTAAATAATTTACAGTATCATAATCACTACTTCAAAACTAGGATTATGCATATAATATGTTTCAACAGAAAAACTGATAATTTAAAAAGTTTCTTTATCTCATTACCTACAGAATATCCATTCTACCATATATATTTGGGGTTGTTATTTGCATATTATGAATGGAAAACATTAGGCTTAGAGATGCTAAAATCAGGAAGTAAGTGATAGCAAAAACAAAATTTAAATGTAGAGACTCTTCATTTTTCAGTTCAGTGAATTATGCTACCATTGGAATGGCATGTTAAACTCTCATTATATTGAGCTAACTGAAAATATAGAGTTTAATTGTTCAGTTTACGCGGGAAAGGAAAAAGTCATCACAGAATTGGGAAAATATAAATTAGTCTATTTTTGGAATGCATTTTATAGGAGAAATCTTTTTTGTTGATACTATTCCCTCTTTCCTTTCATTTTGTAGGAAAGGAAATCCCAAATCCTCAGGCTCTTTTCTTATCCTGATTTTTTATTTTACATAAATATATTTAACATCTTTAAATGCTCTTCAATTATTTTCAATCACTACAAATATAATCCATCATTTTTCTTGTTTTATATTTAAGTGACTTTCATATTTTCTGCGTTAGATTATTTTCTTGAGATTTATTTATGAAATAATATTTGAATTATGCTTATGAAAAATTACTTCTAAGCGTTTTATTTTCTTTTTGCATTCATTTCTGCCTCTTCTAATTTTTCTAAATTTGTTTTTGTGGATTTCCATTTCAAAAGATGTAATGGATAAGGTTAAATTAATTTTGAATGCTATATTCTGATTATTTTGTTCATACTACATCAAATACTTGGCAGGAAAACTAGATCTCAATGAGCATGAAAGAAGAGCTTTGGCGGTTTATATAAATTTATGCTACTATTGCTCTTCTCAACTTCGGTTGTTTTATAAGGGATTTTTTTTTTAATCAGAAAATGATTTCTTATGTATTTTGACTAGGGTAACTGTTAGTTGGTATTCCATTCTCTTTGGGGGCAGTAAACTTTTCTTATTTTTGTATAGTAAAATGTCTAGAAAACAGCCTTCATTGCTGGAAATCATTTTAGATTCAGTAACCTCTCACGATTTTAAAAAGACATTGATATACTAAGTGTACCTTTAGAGGTTAGAAAATATTGATACTTCTGAAAAAGCTAACTAGTCTTTTAAAAACTAGTCTTTAATTTTCTCTGAAGTTTTTGTTTCTAACACAGGTTGACTTAGCACCCATTTTAAACACGGAATTAAAAAATATATATATCTGTAGCCCAGCCGGTGTGGCTCAGTTAGTTGTTCAGTGTCGATCCAGGAACTAAGAGATCAGGATTCGATTCCTGTTCAGGGCACATGCCTGGGTTGTGGGCTCAATCCTAGTACGGGGTGTGCAAGAGGCAGCCGATCAATGATGTTTCTCACCCATGTTTCTAGCTCTATCCCTTTCCCTTCCTCTCTCAAATATATATATATATATGTGTGTGTGTGTGTGTGTGTGTGTGTGTGTGTATGTATGTATATATACATATATGTGTAAGATATCTGTCTGTCTATATATATATATATATATATATACATGCACACACACTCACATACACATCTGATATGATCTTACTTTCAGGAATTTTTACCTTCACATTTTTTTCTTTATTGATATGTGGTAATTATAACCTGTTATACAGATTTATTCATCCATACAATAACTCCTATTTCCCCAAAGTGTGGCAGATAATAACTAATAAAAAGCTATAAAAAGATAGCTGTGATATGAATGTGAGCAACATGGAATATAGACATCTATAAATAAACAGTATCATTTCATTTTATAGATTTTGAAACTGAGGTTCTTTGTGATTAAGTAACCAAGGTCACATGGGATTCAAACTCAAATTCAATTATTTAGCTTTAAAAATGATTTTTTCTGTTACACACTTTTCTGTCATCCATCCATCTGTCTGTCTGTCTATCTATCTATCTATCTATCTATCTATCTATCTATCTATCTATCATCTATCTATCAGAAGCCTGGTGCATGAAAATTCATACACTCGGAAGGGTGTCCCTCAGCCCAGCCTGTGTCCTTTCTCAGTCCAGGAGCCCTCAGGGGATATCCAACTGGCAGGCCTAATCTGCAGTCTGTGTGAGGCGACCAACAGGCAATCAGGGGACGGCATAGGTGGCTAGTGGCTGGCCCCACCCCCCATTGCACCACTGCTGCCAGTGGCCACCCTCTGCGGGAAGCGACCCCGAGGATAGCAAGTGGCTGTCCCCGCCCTAAATCACCCCGCTGCTGATGCTGCCACCCCCACCCGTACCCCATTGCCATCCCTTCCCTCTGCCCACTGGCATGCATCTTGGCTGGTCTGGAGACACCTGCTCACCAGTCCTGCCCTCCACCCTCCAGTCGTTCAGTTGATTTGTATATTATGCTTTTATTATATATTTATTTATTTATAATAAAAGCATAATATGCAAATTTATTTATTTTAAAATATATTTTTATGGGTTACAGAGAGGAAGGGAAAGGGAGAAAGATAGAAACATCAGTGATAAAAGTCAATCATTGATTGGCTGCCTCCTGCACGCATCCCACTGGGGATCAAGCCTGAAACTCAGGCATGTGCCCTGACAGAGCATCAAACTGACCTTCTGGTTTATAGGTCAATGTTCAACTGCTGAGCCACACCAACCGGGCTATTTTCTACTATTTAATCACATTATATTTAAAGGATCAGATAGGCTTCAGGTCCATCAGTTACCTTTTCAAGAGGGCTTAGTTACCAAAGGGCATAGTTTTCTCATCTATAATAATATCCTACAATATGTACCCATGAGGAACATTTTATCAACTTTGCTACTGGTGGTGGGCAGAGGTGGTGGTGGGGAATGTAGTGAGCTATACAGAAAATACAATTAAATGATAGATACTTGAATTTGCTCAGAATTGCCTTACATATTATTTTAAGTGGGAAAATACTATTTTAAAAGAAATTTTTATAATTTTGATTAATTCCTAAAATGTTCATATTATTCTTCTAATTAATTTTTACCTCTTTTTTTTAAAAAAAAATATAGTGCCTTTACTTTCCCGAATTCTGCCTTCCGATGCATGTAAAATATACAAACAAGGTATCAATATCAGGTAAGGTGATTTGATTTTTTCCCCCTGAGTAATAGAAAATTGAGATTTAGAGGAAGCTTTCCCCCTACCCCTGTAGTAATAGCTTACATTAGGATGTAGTATTTTTATAATTTAAATATGCTGTATATAAAGTCACAACATTTTATCTCATTTGAGACATACTATATACAGATAATCAAAGGTATCAACTCTTGACTAAAACAAAGGTATTATTCTTATTCAACTACAGAATATCTAGAAGGCAAACAGTGAAGAACATGATGTAATACTAAGAAGATGTAAGATGGTCATCTCCTTGATCCTGGCTTTTTAAGGAATAAGGGACACATAAGTAGAAGACCTAACTCTTGTCCTTCTTTCCCTACTCTTATACCCTTCTATTCCCAATGTACCCATCCATGAATCCATTCATCTATTCAGTCATTTATCTATTCTAGTGAACTCTTTAAGACTAAATTTAATATTCTTCCGTTTCCTTTTAAAACCTAAGATTGATGATTGGATCATGTGGAAAATATTTATTTTACTCATTTCAGAATTTTACTTTTATCATTCCTTATATCTTTAGCTTTATATTTTAATGTAGATATATTTGTAAATTAAGTAAATGAAAGTTATATATATATATTGCTAGTGAAAATGCCAACTTATATATATGTATTTTAGTATATTTGTAAATTATATATACATATATATAATATTGCATATATATATATTTATACATATCCAGAATATTCATTTGGATATGTAAGGGATTAGGACTGGAAATGTCTTAAAATATTATTTCATGTAAACTGTTTTATAGATGAGAAAGTGAAGTGATTTTTTACAGGAGTACTTTGCAAATTAGTAGCTGAGCCAGGACCTCCAAGTTCCTGTCAGTTCCTACCGTGTCACAAGGCAGAAATTTAAAAAAACTAACTGTATAAAATTCATTATGCAATATGTTGAATTCTAGTGAAAGAAATAACCTTTAGTTGGAAGTAAGTTCTAGGGTAATTATTCTCAAGCAGTAGAATTAGATTAAAGTAGAAGTTTCTGGATTTTTTTTTTTTTAAAATAACCTTCAGAAGTTTCTAATTATGAAAGTGCTCATGCACATTAAGTTCATGGTAATTATAGAAACCTTGGAAATTACAGAAAAGTGTACAAGAGAAATTAGGAAGGGATTTGATAATGATATAGGTTTAATTCAGCAGCCCATTGTTAATAGTATATTATGGATTCATAAAAAATGATTCATCAATTTAAAAATGTTTAATATAGGCACTTGCCAAAGGTAGTAGATAATTTTGGAGAATAGTATTTTCTTCCATGTGCTATACTAAAAAAAAACTTTTAGTTTTGTTTGATTTTTAGAAATAGGAAGAAAAGGAGGAACATTCTCTTTAAAAAATTATATATATGATTTTTGGCAGTAAATTTTATTATGACTATTATATAATAAATATAGATTAAAAACAAACAAACAATAAATGGTTAAAATGGAGACATGAGAATAGGAGCCTGAGGGAGAATCATTGTTATAGAAATGTCGGTTATGAGGAAACTACTTTAATGTAGTCAGACACTCTGACCTAGGGCTTACCAGCAGCTGAGGATGAAGGAGAAATATGATCGGTTCTAAAGCTCTCATTTCTAAACAAAGTTTACCACATTAATGGGAAGGCTGGATTTTAGGAAGTTTGGCAAAGTTTTATTGCATATATAACAAGAATTGACTTCTAAAAAATAAGTTAACATTAAATAAAAACTTTCAAATTTAAATGTCAAAAGACTTAATTTTTTAAAACATCACTTCAAATGAAGCTGAATTTTAACTGTATCAAAGAAATCTTTAAAGTTTACTCATACCTCATAATAGGCATCTGATCATGTAAAATATCTTCTTTGGTTTCAAGGAGAGATGAAATACTTTAGTAGAAATAGGAAAGTGTGAGCAGCTTTATTATTGTGAATCCTAAAACATTTTCACTATTAATTTTAATAATCTGAGTGACCTGTACCCACTGACTGAAATGATCATTGCAAACTTTGCCCCATTTCAGGCTTTTCCTGTCTCAAGAGAAGGCTCTATTTCTTTTTTCAGTGCTATTTGGTATTTTTCAAGTTTTTATCTCAAAAAACTTGGCATTTTTCAAGTTTTTATCTTTGCATTTATATAAAGTTTTTTTTGTTCTTCATGCCATTCCATATAAAAATTAATATTTAGGTTCATAGGCTTAAAGCATAGGAATACTTAATACATTAAAATATGATCAATTTTATCATTATAAGGCATGTGTGATATTTACTAGGCAATATAATATGTCAGGGATATTGCAGAAGATGTATTAGATAGTCTTATTTCAATTGCAAATTATAAAAGTACAGATGAAAAGTACAGAAAAATTGACTGTTACTGATCTCAGGTGTGACTACATCTAGGAGCTTATCACCATGTAAATCTGTCTCTGCCTCTCTTTGTATTTCTTTTCTCACTATTTTCACACTTACCCTTTGCAACTCACTACCACTCTCATCTAGGATGGGCAAGAATGGAATGGAGACAGAGACTTGTCTGGCCACCTACCGTTTTTTTTTTTTTTTTTTTTTTTTTTTTTTTTTTAATATATTTTATTGATTTTGTACAGAGAGGAAGGGAGAGAGATAGAGAGCTAGAAACATCGATGAGAGAGAGTCATCAATCAGCTGCCTCTTGCACACCCCCTACTGGGGATATGCCCGCAACCAAGGTACATGCCCTTGACCGGAATCGAACCCGGGACCCTTTAGTCCCCAAGCCGAAGCTCTATCCATTGAGCCAAACCGGTCCCGGCCCACCTACCGTTTTTTAAATTAATTTTATTTATTTATTTATTTATTTATTTATTTATTTATTTATTTATTTATTTATTTTTATAGAGAGCTAGAAATGTCAATGAGAGAGAAACATCGACCAGGTGCCTCTTGCACACCCCCTACTGGGGATGTGCCCGACCCAGGTGCATGCGCTTGACCAGAATTGAACCTGAGACCCTTCAGTCCGCAGGCCAACACTCTACCACTGAGCCAAACCGGTTTCGGCAAATTAATTTATTTTTATATTTCTTTATTGATTTCAGAGGAGGGAGGAGAGAGAGAACCATCAATGATGAGAGAGAATCATTGATCGGCTGCCTCTTGCACACCCCCCAATGGGGATCGCGCCCACAACCCAGGCATGTGTCCTTGGCCGGAATCTAGTCTGGAACCCTTCAGTCCTCAGGCTGACGCTCTATCCACTGAGCCAAGCTGGCAGGGCCACCTACCCTTTAAAATTTTTTTTATTTATTTTTATTTTTTTATTTTTTATGTAGGGGATAGAGTTTTCTGGTAGCTGAAGCTTAGAGTCCACATAGGGCACTTACATAAATGGATCTATTTCTTTTTGATACTACCGTGTTTCTCCGAAAATAAGACATCCTCCAAAAATAAGACCTAGCGCATGTAAAAATAAGACATCCCCTGAAAATAAGACCTAGCGCAACTTTGGGAGAAAAAATTAATATAAGACACTGTCTTATTTTCAGGGAAACAGGGTATCAGTAGTCCACACCTTATAAAGGGAAAGGATAAGCCCCTTTAACTAGCATTATTTTCTCTTATGCCATATGTACAAGCAACAACATGACATGTTTATTAGTACAAGCACTAGTAGCGCAATAGCAGGTCACTGGCAGCAGACCAGAAGCCAGAATTCAGTTATAAAGCAGCAGACAGGGTTCATCCCTACAGGAGTTGGTGACGTGCTTTTTTTAGTGCTCTTAATTTTATTCTGAGGGAATACGTATATTTTACATGGCTCAGAAAAGAGCTCCTTGTACATAGCGTAATCAGACTTTCCTATTTGGTCTGATTTATCCCTGTTACCTGGTAAAATTATTAATAGGACCACTTTCACTTTTTTACTTTTTAAAAAAATAAGTTTTTTATTGATATGAGGGAGAGAAACATTGATCTGACTCCTGTGCACCCCCTACTGGGGATTGAGCCCACAACCTGGGCATGTGCCCTGACCAGGAATCAATCCAGTGACCTCTTGATGCAAGGACGACACCCAACCAATTGAGTCACACCATCCAGGGCTCACTTTTACTTTTAAAAATAACCCGAGTTATTCTTTTGATGCAGTGCGTGAGATGTTTCATTCTCAGCCTTTTTGTGTAGGGACACCAAGAATGCCCATTCACTTTGCCTTGTCCAGGGTGAAAACTGAAAAGCCTACAAAGTAATGAATTCTTATAATTGCATTAGAACTCAGTAGCCAGAGTGGTTCTTTCACAGGGACTTAAAGATGTTTCTTTGGGCATGATCACCATCATGTAACAAATGTGTCAACCAATTTCTTAGATTAAGGACTATGTTTTGAGGAGCTAGTCAGAGAGGTGCTGGTGTGATCTACAAAGTCTTCAAAGGTTTAAGGACTAGAGGGTACTTGGGAACTTTTCCACTGCATTATTCTCCCTAATTTCAGCAAGTAGTGATTTGTGAAATTTGAGACCAACTCATTGGGGTAGACTGTGTCAGATCTTGGTTACCAAAGAGCACAATAAATACACTGAAATGAATCTATGAACTTTTGACATAGGAATGATTCATAAGATTTTCAAGCTGTGGAGATGTTGGAAAAGAGAATGCTGATTGAATCTGGGAAGTCAAACAGAAAGGCTAAAAGATTTTGGAATAAGTTAAGTGGATTACCAAGTGGAAGGATGAAACAAGTTTTGGTACCTGATAGTTGGGGATAAGAGCAAAAGGCCAAGAATGTGGTACATCCATTGCTTTTACAACCCTCTTAATTGCTCTGCTTGGTCAATAACATGGTCTTACAGGAATCAGAATGTTAGGACTGCTTTCTTTTTCTGTGATGAAGTTGTTATTTTTATGGAGTTATTACAGTAAGGGAAATGTTAAGGAACAAAGGCACAATACTTCAGCAATGGGGAAACAATCTTTCTTAGAGTATATACTCAGAAAAATGAAATACAAGTAAAATTGAGTATATTTAAATATTCTTTTGGTGTGTTGTTTTTTTTAAATAAGATATTCTAAATTTAGTTTTTTTTCTCTCTAAATTTGACTTTGCAATATGGTATTAGCATCTTGGTTTGAGTTTAGAAGGAACAAAATTTGGTTTAATTATTATGGACTGTTATTGAAATTTATTTGTCAGAATTTCTCATCTACATATCTTTCACAGGCTTGACACTACTCTCATAGACTTTACTGACATGAAGTGCCAACGAGGGGACTTAAGCTTCATTTTCAATGGGGATGCAGCACCCTCTGAATCTTTTGTAGTATTAGACAATGAACAGAAAGTTTACCAGCGAATACACCATGAGGTGAGCATTCCTCTAAATGGTTTTTAATAAATGACTTTGTATGGAACCAAGTGTCAGTGTAATTGTTTCAAAGAGCTTAAGGTATAAATGGGATTTGATTATAAAGTTTTTATTTTCTTACTACTAGTTTTTTAGTTTTATTTTATTTTATATATTATCATCTGGTTTTCATCTTGACCAAGCCAGTGAGTCTGTTTGCTCATAATTCATTGATGATCTACTAGTTAGGTGAACTCCATTTTCTCTTAGTTCTCATTTGTTGAACCTGTGCTGCTCCTTTCACTATTTATTATTTTACAACCTTAGTTTCTTTTAAAATGTTACTGACCATCCCTATCTCTATCTGTACTCGTATTTTTCCTTACTCTTTGACTGCCTTTCTTTTATCTTTTTCTTCTTAAAGTACAAAATTATCTTCCTTTCATCACATCAGAAATCCATGTTGGTAATTGCCTACCCAACCATCATTGAAAACTATATGCATCATTATCCTCATCCTTTATTCCATGAAATCCCCTTTCCCTGCTTTTAGAGATGCCAGGAAGACAAAGCTTTTCTAGTGTCTCTATCTTTGATAATACTACAAAGTTTTCTTAGCCAACATTTTGTTTCGTCACTTTTTAAATTTTGTTGTTATTTTTCATCACTTTATTTCTATATATTGTCATTCACCACATCTTATAGTTCCTTCCTCAACATCTCTTAGATTAGAACTTCCTACTACCATATCTTAGTTACCTTGTATGTGTACTATTGAAAAGTAGTGTCTTAACCTGCACTGAGCAATGAAGATTTAAATTGGAAGAGGAAAAGGTATTTCTTATGGAGCACAGGGTGAGTAAAGTCAGGGAAGTGGGAATAAAAATGATCTTTTGGGGAAACAGAAAAGGGATCTGAATAAAGTTTTCTCTTATTGAGTATGCGAACATGATTTATGGCAGGTCTTAAAAGCCAGAAAGATAACTTAGGATCTGTAGTTAGTAACAGAGTCATAGATTCTGATCTAAAAGTAATTTAAGGGAATTAATCTTATGTATTTCTTACACTTTCCCTCCCTTCCTTTCTTAAACATTTATCAAGGATCTAGTAAATGCTAGACACTTCTAGGTGCTATGGATAGTGGATCTTTATTAATAGTGTATAGCTATTACTCATATATATAATATTAAGCATTTCTTGCTAGCATATTGGAACTATTATTTAAGTATTTTAATTAAAAAGTATTTATCATTAAATTCTAAACCTATTAAAGTAAATACTTTTATTACCTTCATTTTACACATGAGAAAATTGAGGCTTACAGATATTAAATGACATCTTAAGATTAAATAGCTGATATGCAGGATGGATTGGAATAGGAAGAGATTGGAGGCAGGGGAGTATACTGTTGAGAGGTGACAAGGTCCTCTCAACTGTATAGTGAATAAGAAAGTGATGGTGTAGTGAATAAGAAAGAAATTATGACTTACATTTCCAAGAATGAAATAATAGGACTTGCTAATAGATTGAGTGAATTAAGAATTAGAAAGATTTAAGGGTGAGTATAGTGATTCTGTCTTGAGGAGTGGAATGACACTTCCCACTGATAAAATTGGGTTATTTGGAAAAGGAAATACGTTTGGGATTTTGGATAATGCTCATTTTGAGTCCATTGCTAAAACCAGCACACTTGTTTCAACTTTATTAAATTTCTCTGAAGTATTTGCTATTATTAATAACTCAGTTCTTAAAATTTTCTTTTCCCTATGAATTGACTTTAGTCTGTTGTTCTTTTCTCTCTATCTTATTCTCCTTTCCCTGTTCCCTACTTACCTCTTTAATCTTGATTTGCCTCTGGTGTGGTTCTCATTTTTACAAACTGGCAGAATAATGTCTCTGTTCTCACAAAGTATATATTTGGATCCTAGATAAATCTTCTGAGTGGAGACCTATCTACTCAAATGGGATATCATGTATGTCTCTAAGATAACTTCAAAATTTAGTTTGTCTAAGGCTAAATTCATTATTTTCCCTCCAAACCTGCCTCTTCTCCCACTCCTCCCCCCACCCCCATTTTCCTTCTTTTGGTGAATGACATCATTTTCTATTCATCCAGATAACAGGGAGTTATTTTTGACATCTTTTCTTATACTCCATGTTTAATATCTCTTTTTTTATTCATAGTGCTAATGCCTTAATTTAGATACTATCTCCCCCCCCACCCCCCGTGGAATAGAGGATTTTTATTTATTTTTCATTTTATTTTTAAATTAATTATTATCTGTGTACATATTTTAACATTGCCCCCCCCCACAAACATACCCTCCCTCCCCAGAGTTTTGTATCCATTAGTTGTACTTATATGCATGTATACAAGTCCTTCGGTTGATCTATTATCTCCCCCAGAGATACTCACTGTCTTTCAATTGGACTATCACAAGTCTTATAAATGATCTTCCTGCCCCCCTTCTGTTCTGCTTCTAAATTATCTCATATACTGGAGATAGATTGAACATTGAAAACAAATTTATGAAACCTGCCTTCTTTAAAGACATTTTATAGTTCCCTATTCCTAAAGAGTGAAATCCAAATTCCTTAGCATGACATGGTTCCTTCTGTGACCTGGCTTTTCTAGCCTTTTCCTTACTTTGCTGTCTTAGATACAGTAGTACTTATTTCTTTGCAATTTTTCCAGACATGCAAGGCTATTTAGCATTCATTTTATTGTACACATTGTTTCCACTTCCTGGAATGTCCTTCTTCGTGTACCCTCATACCTAACGGGCACGGCTTAGTGTCACTTCCTCCCAGATGACCATTGATTTCTTTATGCTTTCACTGAATATGGTATCAAAGACCCTCTTCTGCTTTTTGTTTATGTGTAGCTTTCTTCCTTTGTGGGGTTAAACTTCTCAAGGATATGGGGTTCATTTAGTTGTATTCTCTGGTACCTAATACAGCTTCAGCACATTTTAGGCCAGAGTTTGGGAACCTTTCTGTAAAGGTACAGATAATACATATTTTAGATATTTAGATATATTTGTATGCCATATGGTCTCTGTCACAACTCTGCTGTGATTAGTATAAAAGCAGCCAGAGATATTATGTATATGAATGATTATAGATATATTTCCATAAAACTTTATGAAAAATGTAGTGGATTGGATTTGGCATGCAGGCCATAGTTTGCTGACCTTTCTTATAGATTCAGATATTTATTTATTTACTTTTTAAAATATATTTTATTGATTTTGTACAGAGAGGAAGGGAGAGAGATAGTTAGAAACATCGATGAGAGAGAGTCATTGATCAGCTGCCTCTTGCACACCCCCTATTGGGGATATGCCTGCAACCAAGGAATATGCCCTTGACCAAATCGAACCCAGGACCCTTCAGCCCCCAAGCCGACGCTCTATCCATTGAGCCAAACCGGTTTCGGCTAGATTCAGATATTTAATAAATAATTTGACCTATTGCATATTAAATGAGAATAGCATAGCTAACTAGGCAGAGGTAAGTGGACATATGGTACTGAAAGGGAAACCAAAGAACTGGTATTTAAGGGGTGTGTGTGTGTGTGTTTTATGCCTTAAAAATTACAGATAAGTTGGGTTTTGAGCAATAATCCTTAAGAAGGAAATACTTGTTTATTCTAATGTGCATATATAAGTAATACCTGTTCAATAAATGTTTGTTGAATGGTTGTAACTAATATGGTTTTTTGAATGATATGGTGGTGATTGGTCTATGATTTATAGAAGAGTTATGTTCTAAAAGTTTCTTTAAAAATAGGGTGTTTGAAATGCAAGGTAAATTTCTTCACAGTCTTATATGTACTTTTACTCTCAAGCTAATACACAGAATCCTAATTGATTGTAATATATTTGAAAGATAATGTTTGACAGTTCTGTATTACCTATGTCAGTCAAAAATTTTCTTTTTCCCCCCTTTTTAATATATATATAAATATATATATATATATTTATCAATTCTATTTATTTATTTTTATCATTTTTTTATTATTAGGTTATTCAAAATTTTCTTTAGAAAATTATGTTCTGAATTAGTTTGGGTTACCAGAAATACATTTGTACTTTAGCATTGTCAAGAGTTTCCATTCCTCACTTGTAAGGGTGAAGGAAATGGTACTATCTGGGTCCCAAGGTATTGCTGTTTTTTCTATAGACAATAGATTAAGAAGTGGATTATATCTGGTTGGAAGTTCAGTGGTGAAAAATAGAAAATGGGCCTCTTGGTAATCTATATGTAATAATAAAAGTATAATATGCTAATTAGACTGGACCAAATAACCTTCTGGATGCCCTTCTGCACAATCTTCCAGAGGAAGCTGGGTCCTCAGGTGCAAGGGCCAAGCCCTTTATACGAATTTCATGCATCGGGCCTCTAGTATAGAAATAAGGAGGTGAGCCAAAACCGGTTTGGCTCAGTGGATAGAGCGTCGGTCTGTGGACTGAAAGGTCCCAGGTTCGATTCCAGTCAAGGGCATGTACCTTGGTTGCGACACGTCCCCAGTGGGAGGTGTGCAAGAGGCAGCTGATCGATGTTTCTCTCTCATCGATGTTTATGACTCTATCCCTCTCTCTTCCTCTCTGTGAAAAATCAATAAAATATATTTAAAAAAAATAAAAAATAAGGAGGTGTGGGAAATCAAGCTTCTAGCCATTGTAAACTTCGTGCACAATTCTCATTCTCCAGTGAGCTCTCTAGGTTCTGCCTTTTATTCTCCTATTTCCCCTTCCACGCCACCCGCCTACTTAAGACTCTTTGGTCCTAAGTATCAGTGACTCTCGCTTGGCCTGTAAAGATAGAATCTCATCTTATACCTGCTCACTTACCCTTCTGTACCTGATTTCTTAATTTTCTGTTCCTGAAGCAAGCACAAAGCTTTCTTTTTTTTTTTTTTTTTTTTTCTCATTTAAAAAATAATTATTGATCACATATTATGTGCCAACACTGGAGAATATGCAGAGAATAAAACCTGAAGTAAGGCTGCTTATCAAGTTTAGAACTGATAGATTGATATGAATGGATTTCCCCCCCAAGAAATATAGAGCAGGTCCCTTCTGGACTGCTTTTCTTTCCTTCCCTCCCTTCCGTGCCCTACCCCCCTCCTTTTTTTCCCCTTCAACTTATTATTGAGAAAGACCCAAGTGATAGTGGTGGGTCTTTAGATTAAAAAGAACTAAAGTAAGATTCATCTGTGTTGAAATAAAATGAAACCTTCATATGGACATTTTGTCTCACGCTTGTCAACTTAATTCTTTTTTTTTTTTTTTAATATATATTTTATTGACTTTTTACAGAGAGGAAAGGAGAGGGATAGAGAGAAACATTGATGAGAGAGAATCACCCATCAGCTGCCTCTTGCACACCTCCTACTGGTGATGTGACCACAACTCAGGTATATGCCCTTGACCGGAATTGAACTCAGGACCTTTCAGTCCCCAGGCTGACGCTCTATCCACTGAGCCAAACCGGTTTTGGCAATTCTTTAAGTAATCTTTTAAAATTGCCTTTAATATACTGTATGTTTCTGAAGTGGATAATCTAATATTGTTTCAACTACATTATCTATAACAGTGTAAGAGTACTGTATTTCATGTATCCTGTATTTATAGATTCATAATTAATCATAATTCTAACTTACTTAAATATATATAGTTTAAAATTCTGTAATTGGTTTTAGAATAAGTAGCATTTCACATTTTTAGAATTTGTTTCCTTTTTGGAAATTCATAACATTTTGTTATTTTTATATGCCATGCTAATAACCTTTGAAAACCTAGATTCTAATATTTAACTTTTACCCCCACCCCAGGAATCAGAGATGGAAACAGAAGAGGAGGTTGACATTTTGATGAGTAGTGATATTTACTCTGCAACTCTGTCAACCAAATCAATTTCTTTCACACGTGCCCAAACAGGATGGCTTTTTCGGGAAGATAAAACAGTATGTACAAATCAGATTTTTAAACTTTAAAGATTGTTTAGTATTTAATGTGGCCAAAATAAGGTAATGGAAATGCAAGAAGAAGTAGCTTACTGAATTGTCTTCAAATAGTTTATTCTCTCCACTTTGCGGCCACATAAGGAATTATAATGGTTGGTTAGAGAATTGGAACATATTCTTAGAGAAGCCATGAGAGAAAGTTTAGCTCATTGAATTCCATGTTGGGAAAGATTCTTTTTGTCAATTGTCTTATCCTCATATGTTTCCATTATATTTCTAATGCTTTATTCTTTAGGAAGACCACAAAAAGGAATACATTTTTTAATTCATTTCCCTGAATATTTTTTCTTTTTACTTTTAGACTTCTAAACTATTTACTTACCTAATATTCATTTCTCAGTATTCTATATATATGACTAAAATGAAATATGCTTACATTTTTATAATACTGCCATTAAATTGAATTTAATTGAAGGTTTCTCTTTAGTGAATTGTAAATTTCTCCCATAATTACCATTTCATCTGTGAAGAAGAGTTTATGTAAGAATGCTCCAGCCCTAGCCGGGTAGCTCAGTTTGTTAGAGTACCAAGGTTGCATGTTTGATCCCTGGTTAGAGCACATACCAGAAGGAACCAGTGAATGTAAAGTTAGTGTATCAACAATTGATGTTTCTTTCTCTCCCCGCTCCTTCTTTTCATTCTCTAAATCAATCACTAAAGAAAAAGTATTTTAAAAGATGTTTGACATATTCTTATACTTTACTTACTTATTTTCATTTCAGGAAGGGAGAGGGAGGGAGAGAAACATCAGTCATGATAGAGAATCATTGATTGGCTGCCTCCTCATGCCCCCCACTGGGGGTCAAGCCCACAATCCTGACATGTGCTCTTGACCGTAATTGAATCTGGGACCCTTCGATCCACAGGCCAACACTCTATCCACTGAGCCAAACCAGCTAAGGCTCTCAGACATTTTTTAAATTAAACACATGAAGAAGCATTTCATAAAAATTTAAAGTCAAGAATAAGTAATCAGCCCTAACTGATTTGGCTCAGTGGATAGAGCATCCGTCTTCGGACTGAAAGGTCCCAGGTTCAATTCTAGTTAAGGACATGTACCTTGGTTGTGGGCACATCCCAAGTAGGAGGTGTGTAGGAGGCAGCTGATCGATGTTTCTAACTCTATCTCTCTCCCTTCCTTCCTGTAAAAAAATCAATAAAATAATTAAAAAGAAAAAGAAAAAAAGAATAATCAGATCAGCCAAGGGCTGTACTTACTGCTTTTAAAAATTATTTTCATCTTATATTACACTAGAGGCCCAATGCACGAAATTCATGCAAGAGTAGGCCTTCCTTCCCTCAGTTGCCAGCATGGTTCTCCCTCTGACACCTGGGACCCAGTTTTCCCTCCAGCACTCGAGACTTGGGTGCTGGAGGGTAGCCAGTGCCAGCAGCTGGGAGAAGGAAGGCCTACTCCTGCACACATTTCATGCCTTGGGCCTCTAGTAGATGTATAAGTAGGGGGGGCGGGTAGGGAGAGATTGATTTATTTTAAGGAATTGGCTCATGTGAATGTAGGAACTGGCAAGTCTGAAATCTGTAGAGCGGTGCAGCAGGCTGGAAATTCAGGGAAGAGTTGATATGGTCTTGATTCTGAAATTTGCAGGCTGGAATCTCAGGCAGGGTTTCTATGTTGTAGTTTTGAGACAGAATTGCTTTTCCTTTGGGAAATAGACTTTGCTCTTAAGAACTGCAATTAATTAGATGAGGCCTACCTACTTTATGGAGGGTAATATGCTATATTTCAAGTCTACTGATTTAAGTGTTAATCACATCTAAAAAATACCTTCACTGAAGCATCTAGACTGGTGTTTGGTCAAAAGATTGAGCACCATAGTCTTTGCCAAATTGGCGTAAAATTAACTACCACACAACCTTACATATAAAGTTAAATGAACCCCTTGGCCACTAACAATCCCAGAGCTCCTTGCAAAAGGTTATCCATTTATATATCCTTTAGACCTTTTTATATGCTTTCCATAAATATGTATTTACAATAATCAGTAGCTTTAGTTGTTGATACTTATTTTTTCATAAACATACCTATTTTTTTACAACTTTTTTTTCTCTTTAGTATGTCTTAGGTGCTTTTTCTTATTAGTAGTGCTGCTTCATTCTTTTTAAGAAATGCATAGTATTTCATAATATAGGTATGTTGTAGTTTATTTACCCAGGCTCTTTTTTTGGACTTTTAAATGAATGGGCACACATTTTTTCCAGTTTTCTGCCATTATGAATGATGTTGCATTCTTTTACATTCCTTTGCAGTGTCTGTTACAGATAGCAAGAAATAAAATGGCTGAATTATAGAGACTATTCACTTAAAATTTTTACTGTTCTGATGGTTTACTTTTAATAAATACTTTTTATTATGAAATTTCAAAAACTGATAATAATCACCTGAGTATCTCACAACCACAGAATAAAATCCTCACTGTAGATCTAGTCTCATCAGCTTTCTTCTCTAAGCCTATTTGGCAACAAATAGCATATATTATAGGATTTCCAGTTGTAGGCTCCTACACCGCAATCCATTTGTTGGCTTAAATCTTATTTATTTGTACTCTGTTCTTCTGGACAGCATTAGAAGGATCACTTCAAGAGAAGATAAAAATTGAAGCTGCTATTCATCTAGTGCTACTGCTAAGCAGCTCAAAGCTCTTGCGCGTCTAGGTGATCTTCTTAAATCTTTGACAGGTAAGGAGGGAGTCAGTAATCCTTATCGTTCCCATTTTGTAGGTAGAAACAAGTGCAGAATGCTTTGCTTTCTGGTGACTGGTAAAAGAGCCACCAAAAGCAAGGTGGACATGGAAACAACTCTAAACACATAGTTTTGGAATGCCAGAAAACAATTGTAAGAAGGAGACCAAGTGATTTGTGTGCAGGTGGAACTGGGAAGCTTGCTTTCCATCATGTTTTTTGAAGTAAAACTTTGAAACTCTGACTTCCTTTGGGTCTGAGTTAAAAGGGTAATGTTTGATGTTGAAGGAAATAACAACTCTCTTCTTGATGTCCCTTATACGTCTTGAGTTTCCCTATCCCCATTTCTAATGTAAACAGTTGTATTGGAGAGCTGGAATGCTCTGTTGTTCACTCTTTGTTGAAAGTAGTAAGCAAATGTAACTTGAGGCTTGATCCTGTTATAGAATAGAGTATTGGAATAGGTAATTAATTCTAGTTGTCCTAGAGATTTCTATGTGACTTAGACTATTTCTTTTCCACTTTCTTTTCTATCTATAAAATGGGAACAGTAATCATCCCTGACCCCTCCTTGTGATGTTTGAATTTAACTAAATAAAGTTTTCCGATAGCTTTGTGCGACGGGAGTAGATTCTAAAGGAATACTATGTGGTATTTTTATTTAAATTTAACTCATTTTCAGATTAACTGCCATACATAGGTGTGTTTTAAATTTTTCTTTACAAATTTGAAATGTGTAATCCTATACAATAACGGCTACTATGCAAATCCACTGTGTGGTGGAACAATCGGTCACCATGATGCTCACTGACCATCAGAGGGCAGACGCTCAATGCAGGAGCTGCCCCCTGGTGGTCAGTGCGCTCCTAGAGGGGGAGCACCGCTCAGCTAGAAGCCGGGGTCACAGCTGGCCTGGCAAGCACAGCAGCAGTGTCAGGAGCCTCTTCCCTCTCCATAGCAGCGCTAAGGATATCCTAAGCTGTCAATCAGACATCCCCGGGACTGCAAGAGGGCGCAGGCTGGTCTGAGGGGACCTCCCACCCCCCAAGTGCACAAGTCTCTTGCTCCGGGCTTCTAGTTTAATATATTTCTTTTAGCTTAATAGAATGCATAAGATAATTTGATAATTTCAAGTACCAAAGGACTATTTATGTATGCCTTAATGTTACACATTTATGGAAAAACATGTATATGTATGTTACTTTGAAACTTTCTTGTTGCAAACTTAATCTTTTCATTATATTGAAATATTTTATTTCGTTTTAGGAAAGAGTAGGAAACTTTTTGGCAGACTTTTATTTGGTGAATGGACTTGTTTTAGAATCGAGAAAAAGAAGAGAACATCTCAGTGAAGAAGATATTCTTCGAAATAAGGCCATTATGGAGAGTCTTAGTAAAGGTGGAAACATAATGGAACAAAATTTTGAGGTATAATTTTCATTTCTAATTTATAATGTTCTAAGGAGAGAGGGAATAGACTTTATTCCTGGCATTTACTGAGTTTATATAAGTACACTCGTGGGTTTTGTTTACTATATACAATACAGCTTTTGTGTTTTTTTTACATTGTCTTTAGGGATATTTCTGTATGTGTGAGTCTGTTGACTTAACTAACAAATAGATTAAATTATTTTATAAGCATGAAACCCAGTATTAATATTTAATCCATGTTCCTTTGCATATATTCTTTTTCCTATTTCATTAATTGAAATCATCAACTGCTTTGAAGGCCGAAGTAAAGGTCCACTTACTTTATAAAATCATTTCTAGCCTGTATCTTCCCATAGTATGCCAGGTTCCAACTAAGACATGGTAATACTGTGTGTGTGTGTGTGTGTGTGTGTGTGTGTGTGTGTGTGTGTTTGCGTGCGCGAGTGCCAGGAAAGTATTTTACCATTTACAAAGTGCATGTATTGAGTGAATCAGCCATGTAGTTCAGTTAAATAAGTACGGAATGTAAAATGTTTGAAAATCCCCATTCAATATTTAAGTTAAAATTGTGATCGTGCTAGTTTAGTATGATCTATTTCCTTCCCACAGACCCTCTCTGTACTCCTTAGGTTCCTTTAGGCTTTGGGATAGAGTTGAGCTTCACCAGACTTCATTTTTCAGAAGCCCTCCTGGGATTTACTGATATCTTGATAAGTAGGAAATGAAGGCATGATATGCTCAGTAAATAGAAATAAATTGAGAGAGAAAATGCTGAGCTCAATTTGGACAAAACTGCTTCTCTCACCCATTGTTGGACTTATATTGTGATTTACATTTCATTTAGTTATTTTTAATAAATAATTTTGTTGTGGTATTTATTGCTACTTTTGTTTAACTTTGGCAGCAAACCATTCTGTGATGAATATATGGTGGGAAAAACAATATAGAATAGCATTTCATGGACCATTTGCCCATTGTCTCCGATTGTCTGATTTGTCTGTGTTTAAACCTGCAGCATACAACTTAATTTGATGTACTTGAATTATTAAAGGGATCTGCAAATGGCATTTTAATAACTTATAGTTTTACATATATTGAAATTAAGATATAGCTTAATTTCAGATGGCCACATAATAGAACAAAGTAATATGAATTAAGTTAAATAATTAAGGTTTTGACTTCTGAGCAAAAATAAAACACTTTCTATGTGAATCATAGCACCTTGAACTTTACAGTTTTTGATGAATATTTAAATCAATTTGTCAATTTCTATGAAAAATAATAATTGCTGGGATTTTGATTAGGGTGATGTTGGACTTTTGATAGGGAAGAACTGATTAATTATATTTAAGAATCCTTCTGGAGTTCAGTTATAAATAGAAGAAATTTAAAGACAATATTAATTCTACTATATTCATCTATACATATAATTTGATTTGTTTGAATCTGGTATGGTGCAGGATGAAAGAACATCAAAACAGAATTTACCTAATAAAATAATATGCAACAGGACAGGAAACCATAAAAATACTAGAGGCATCCACAGGCAGCAAAATCTCAAGACATATGCCAAAAGAACTTCTTCACTGATACTGCCCCTAGGGCAATGGAAGCTAAAGAGAAAATAAACAAATGGGACTACATCAAAATAAAAAGCTTTTTTTACAGCAAAAGAAACCATCAACAAAACAACAAGAAAGCACACTGTATGGGAGAACATATTTGCAAATGTTATCACTGATAAAGGTTTAATCTCCAACATCTACAAACAGCTTATACAACTAAGTAAAAGGAAAATGAATGATCCAATTAAAAAATGGGCAATGGACCTAAATAGAATATTTTCAAAAGAAGACAGAAGGAAGGCCAAGAGACACATGAAAACATGCTCAGAGTCACTAATTATCCGAGAGATGCAAATCAAAACAACAATGCGGTAACCATCTTACACCTGTCAGAATGGCCAACATCAACAAATCAACAAATGACAAGTGTTGGCGAGGTTGCGGAGAAAAAGGAACCCTCATGCACTGCTGGTGGGAATGCAGACTAGTGCAACCACTGTGGAGAACAGTATGGAGTTTCCTCAAAAAACTGAAAATAGAACTCCCATTTGACCCAGTAATCCCATTCCTAGGATTATATCCCAAGAAACTAGAAACACCAATCAGAAAGGATATATGCACCCCTGTGTTCATAGCAGCACAATCTACAATAGCTAGGATTTGGAAACAGCCTAGGTGCCCGCCAGCAGATGATTGGATCCAAAAACTATGGTACATCTACACCATGGAATACTATGCTGCCATAAAAAAAGGAATTCTCATCATTTGCAGCAACCTGGATGGAATTGGAAAACATCATGCTGAGTGAAATAAGCCAGTCAATGAAAGAGAAACACCACATGACCTCACTCATTTATGGATAATAAAGAACATTATAAACTGATGAACCAAAAGATAGAGACAGTAAAGCAACAAGCAGACTGTCAAATTACAGGGGGGGGTAGGGAGATCTGGGGGAGATAAGAGATCAACCGAAGGACTTGTATACATGCATTAAATACAACCAGTGGACTCAAAACTCAGGGGAGGGAGGGTATATATGGGAGGGGGGGAGCAATGTTAAAATATGTACACAGATAATTTAAAAAAAAGAGTAATATGCAAATGGACTGTCACTCCAATGCACAAGATGGCTGCCCCCATGTGGACAAAAATGGCTGCCACAAGATGGCCAGCAGGGGAGGGCAGTTGGGAGGGACCAGGCCTACAAGGGAAGGCAGTTAGGAGGGGAGGGGTGATCAAGCCTGCAGGGGAGGGCAGTTAGGAGTGACCAGGCCAACAGAGGAGGGAAGTTGGGGGACCCGGCCTGCAGGGGAGGGCAGTTTGGGGGACCCAGGCCTGCAGAGGAGAGCAGTTGGGGGGACCCAGGCCTGTAGGGGAGGGCAGTTAGGGGCAATCAGGCAGGCAGGAGAGCAGTTAGGCATCAATCAGGCTGGCAGGGGAGTGGTTAGGGGGTGATCAGGCTGGCAGGCAGAAGCCATTAGGGACAATCAGGAAGGCAGGCAGACAAGCAGTTGGGAGTCAGCAGTCCTGGATTGTGAGAGGGATGTCTGATCGGACCTAAACAGGCGGTTGGACATCCCTCAAGGAGTCCCAGATTGGAGAGAGTGCAGGCTGGGCTGAGGGACACTCCCTCCCCCTGTGCATGAATTTTGTGCATTTGTAAAAAAGATAAAAATAGCTCCCCTCCTCCCCCCGGCGCAGAATTTACACACACAGGGAAAGCAGCATGGAATTGACATCAGTTTAATTATATTCCACAGTGGGCATTAAAGGAGAAAAGAAATACTTGTATGCATTTCATAGATAGCTCTGGGAATACGGTTCTTTTAAACCAAAATAATAAGCTTTCAGGAAATGTATATATAAATTAACATGCACAGTTAAAAAAATAGATGATCAAAAGAAAAAAGAGAGGAACCTATCAAATTCAAGAGACAATTCCATTGTAATGGGGAATTGTATTTAAAATCTTAATTAAGTTTTAAAAAACATATATATCAGTATTGAAATTAATGGCTGCTTGGTCACAACTGGTAATATAAAAATGAATCGAGTGTGAAAATCATTATGTGTTATGTCAACTTGCAACACATAAACACATGTTAGTTACTCAAATGTATGTACTTTAGTGATTATTATAACAAATCATTTTATTGCCTAATATCAAAGGATTCTCTAGTGGCCTAATCTGAATTAAGTAACATAAATTTAAATTCAGCTTCTACAAGTTAAAAAGCAATTTCATATGTACCTCAATGAATTTTCTTTTTTATGTTGGTTTAAAACATTGGAATTGTGTTTTTTTTTTTTTTCACATTCACATAGCTTTTATTATAATATATTGTTATAGTTGTCCTATTGATACAAAGATGAATGGAACATAGACTTGTTCTCCAGGGCTCAGAGACTCCAGTGGGAGATGGTGTGAAGGGAATGCCCAGTGCGCCAAAATAACCTTGGCGTTGTTAACATGGGCATTGTGCTAAGTATTTTCATCTCTTTTAATTATTACAGTTATTTAATGAGTTGAGTGTCATTGCTCCACTTTATAGAAAGGAAAATGAGGTTTAAAGAAATTAATCTCTCAGAAGTAGCAAAAATCAGTTCTTTGGCTCTAAGTATATTGCTTCTCTATAATGACCCAAATGCATATTTAACAGACAAAGGTGTAAGTTTTAAAACCTGACATTACCTTTTATCAGTGTTGATAAGTGGTCTCTGTTTGACTTTAATACAATCTGAGCCCCAATCCCCTAATCTGAATTTATTATACATAGAAGATTGCTCCTTTTTCTAGCTGCTATACTGTTTAATTCTTTTGTAAGCTCATTTGGTGTTTAATAATATATTTTGTATTTCTGATTAACTGTTCATATATAGATTTTTCTTTGAATTGTAAACTCCTTGAAGTCATGGTTAGTTTTTATACTTCATATTCACCTTTTAGCATAATGCCAAGAACATTTTAGATTATTAAAACATTGAATTGAATGGATTTTATTACTTTGATAACGCATTTTCTTATTTGAGATTTAGAAGAAAAATTGACAGAGCTTAAATCACCGTGGAACTATCTTGGAAGTAAACTTTTAAAGAATTATATTGAAGAGATTAAATAGCTTAGTAGTTTAATTTTATTTAAAATAGTAGCTTAAAATAGCTTTATTTTATATTTTTAAAAATGTCATTCTCCCCCTCCCTTTCTCTATGTCTCCCTCTCTGTCTGTCTCTCACTCTGTGTTCGTCTTTTTTCTCTCTCCCTGTCGCTCTGCCTCTTCCTGTCTTTTTTTTGGCAGCCGGTTCGGAGGCAGTCCCTTACCCCTCCTCCTCAGAACACGATTACATGGGAAGAGTATATATCTGCTGAAAATGGAAAGTAAGTGTTTTTGTTTGTTTGTTTGTTTGTTTGTTTTGGATTCTTTGGTTTCGAAACAGAATAATTTGTAAAAACAGAAATAATGACCAGAGATGGATGACTGGGTGTATAAGGCCATTCACTATTTCTCTACTTTTTGTTTTTCAAGCTCCTCCATCTCTAATTATTATTTCCGTGCATTAGCCTATGCCAGGTTATTTCTCACCATCCTTACATAAGAAATTTACTTAATATTTTATTACTAATATCGATACTTACTGGAGTATCTAGCACATAGTTTATATTCAGCAAATATTTGTTGAGTAAAAAAATGATATTAAACAACTATTTTGAATGAATCAATAAATAAGTTTTTTTTTTTTTCTGGCCGGCCATATGAGGTAAAGTATAATCCTTCACAGAAAATAGTATTTTTTCTTTGACAGAGAATAAAATATTGCCTACCCTCATGTTTAGGAAGACGTTGCAATGATTATTATTTTTTGTATTGAAAATTATATTATTCTTTTCTAACTTTTCCAAAATGTTTCCCTTGTACAGTATTCTGTAGTGAATGTTGAATTCTTCATTCTTCACATCATTTTTTATTTTTTTATTGGTCATGCTGAGAACTGTAGACAATAACAGAGATTGAATTGAATAAGTGATTTTATTTTATTTTTTAAAATATATTTTATTGATTTTTCACAGAGAGGAAAGGAGAGGAATAGAGAGCTAGAAACATTGATGAGAGAGAAACATCAATCAACTGCCTCCTGCACACCCCTCACCGGGGATGTGCCCGCAACCAATGTACATGCCCTTGACTGGAATCGAACCCAGGACCTTTCAGTCCACAGGCCCTCGCTCTATCCACTGAGCCAAACCGATTTTGGCTGAATTGAATAAGTGACTTTAAAGACACACAATGATACAGTTTTTGTGTGGTTTGCTTTGTTCCTAAAAGTGCTTATTAAGTTATATCAATGTGAGATTTGATCATTTTTCTGAACTTTTATACTTTATCCTTGTCTTATTTCTTATATATGTCTCATTTTCTTTTATCAGAATTTTAATTTATTTCTATGCTCAGAGTAAGAAAATTTTAAATATTAATAAGTGTCATTGGAAAAGGACAGATTCTTCTTAAGAAGATGATAAGACATGGAAAAGTTTACTAATATATATATATTTTTCCATTTTAGAGCTCCTCATCTTGGTAGAGAACTGGTGTGCAAAGAGAATAAGAAAACATTTAAAGCCACAATAGCCATGAGCCAGGACTTTCCCTTGGGAATTCAGTCGTAAGTTAGTTACTAACTATATAAAGAAGCTACTAAACCCTAATATTTGTAATAATATTTGTATCTGAGTGGTTCATTTGATGCCTTTGACATGCAAAAGCAAATAGTCATTGCTTTGATAGTGTGTGCATCCTTCTCGAAAGTTTTTAGTTTACAAAATAGTAAGATTATTATAGTTATTTTAAAGTATATTTATTGATTTCAGAGAGGAATAGAGAGATAGATACATCAATGATGAGAGAGAATCATTGATCTGCTGCCTCCTGCACGCCCCCCACTGGGGATCGAGCCCACAACCTGGGCATGTGCCCTTGGCTGGAATCGAACCTGGGACCCCTCAGTCTGCAAGCCGATGCTCTATCCACTGAGTCAAACCGGTTAGGGCAATATTTTTATTGTTTTAACCAGAAAAATGTATAGTTTTTTAATTATAAAAATAATACATAAATACATACATTTTTGTTTTGTATTTTTTAAAATATATTTTTATTAATTTCAGAGAGGGAGAGGGAGAAATAGAAACATAAATGATGAGAGAATCATCGATTGGCTGCCTCCTGCTCACCCCCTACTAAGGATTGAGCCCTCACCCAAGGCAAGTGCCCTTGACCGGAATTGAACCTGGGACCCTTCAGTCTACAGGCTGATGGTCTATCCACTAACCAAACCGCATAGGGCAATACATATACTTTATTTAATAATCTAACAGAATGGGGTTTATAGAATAAAAGTGAGAATTTACTTTTATCTTAGTAATTGCTAATAGATGATAACTGCTATATTTTTATCTAGGATTGTCTATGTATTTGCATTTTTATAAAAATGGCATAGTCTACATTTTGTTCTGTGAGTTCTTTTTTTATTTTCCTTTAAAAAGTGAATGTATCTTGCAATTCTTAGAGTGATAACTTTTTAGTGTCTCTTTTTCTTCTTGTTATTTTGCAGAATTGATTTATTGTAATTTGTTTTATCAATCCCCTGCTGATAAATATTTTGATTGTAGTTTGTCACTATTATGAAAAATAGAAGCCAATGCACAAAGATTTGTGCTAGAATGGGTTTTCCTTTCTTTGGTTGCTGGCACTGCCTGTCCACTCTGGCCCAGCTTCTTTCTGCTCAGGCCCCGGGACTGCCTCTGTCCACTCCAGCCCCACCTTCCCACGCTGCCCAGTGCCCTGGGAGACCCGGGGTGAGGCAGAATCACCATGGCAAGCATCCTGCCCACCCCCGTCACTCAGTGCCTGTGTATGCAAATTAACTACCATCTTTGTTGGGTTAATTTGCATATCACTCCTAATTGGCTGGTGGCATAGTGGAGGTATGGGCAATTTACATGTTTGTCTATTATTAGGTAAGATATTGTAGTAGACATCTCTCAAACTGTACTCGGCAGATACTCATAAAATTTTTAATGTAGAGTACTCTTTAAGGTGCTGGGTGGGATGTCTGATTCATGAATCAATTAAAGACTATAGATCTTTTTAAAAATTCAATTAGCAGACTGAAGCCCTAGGCTATTTTCCTTTCATAATTCCTTCCCCTATCACTCTGGCCTAATACAGAAAAAGAAATCATCATAGAATAGAGCAAGATCTACATTTTTCTAAAGTCTATATGTCTCATACCCCCCAATAGCCTAACTTGAGAAAAGGAGATAGATGTGCTATACAGCCCTCCAGCTATAGATCAGGGATGGAGATACATAGTTAGGGTCCAAGAAAATTTGATAAAAGAATGATTATTAGATTAGTAAAAATAATTATCCTGATGAAACTATTTGACTTGGACTTTAATAAAGAAGTTTAATGGCCCTAGCCAGTGTGGCTCATTTGGTTGAGCATCTAGTGCACCAAAATGTTGCCAGTTCGATTCTTGGTTAGGGGACATATCGAGGTTGTGGGCTCGATCCCCAGTATGCGTCGTGCAGGAAGCAGCCATTCAATGGTCTCTTTTATGTTGATGTTTCTGTCTCTTCCTCTCCTTCCCCTCTCTCTGAAGTATAATGGCATTCAGGCAGAAAGAGGCTAAAATACAGTCTGGCCTTACATTTTTTCACATCTTAGCATTTCTGAAGCAAAAGAAAGTATGATCTGATAATATATCTAGCTAAGATGTCATTTAAATATAAAGGCAATTTAAAAAGACAGAAAAATTCAAGAAATATAGTAACTATGGGCCGTTTTAAAAAGAAAAATAAAACTAAATCAATTCTGAGAGGAAAGGTGGGGAAGGGTGGGTGGTGGCAGAGATCAACTAAAGAATTTGTATGCATATATGCATAACCAGTGGACATAGACAGTAGGCCTGGGGTGGGGGGCAGGAGTGGGCTAGAAGAGGTCAAAGGGGGAAAGGGGGTATATGTAATACTTTCAACAATAAAGATTCAATTAAAAAGTAAAATCCATCAAACCAAAAACATGAAGGGAAGAAGCTGCAGTATGACTAGTGCAATACTGAATGCTAAGAGACATTATGAAATTGTAGTTCAGAGGGGAAGAAATATAAACCGAAATGTTATGCCAGCCAAATTTCCTTTAAGTATGCAAAAAATAACACTAATTTAACTTCTGGAAGAAGAAGCCTTGAATCCATTTATGTATGGACCTAAAATCAAACAACTGGAAATTATGCTTGCACTGTAACATGTAAAAGTTATAAACTTTGACACGATAAAAAGAATAAACAAAAAATTCAAGAGGAAGGAGGTATCATTTCCTCATCCTTAAGTTTGAAGCTTGTGGTTATAAAACAACATAAAGACACAAAGAAATCCATTTTAAAAATGAAAACTTTTTTCTTTTTTTGTTTTTCAGTATATTGAATGTTTTGGAAGTGATAGCTCCCTTCAAGCACTTTAACAAACTTAGAGAATTTGTTCAAATGAAGCTTCCTCCAGGCTTTCCTGTAAAACTAGGTAAGAGAAAAATTGCTTATAATTTCTGTGTCTATTAGAAATATGGTATTGTTTACTAACATTTAGTAAAAACATGCTTTGAAGGAAAATGGGCTTCTAAGTTTTGCTAAAATTTTTTTTTAAAAATATATATTTTATTGATATTTTACAGAGAGGAGAAAGGGGGAGAGATAGAGAGCTAGAAACATCAATGAGAGAGAAACATCGACCAACTGCCTCCTGCACAGCCCCTACCGGGGATGTGTCCGCAACCAATGTACATGCCCTTGACCGGAATCGAACCTGGGACCTTTCAGTCCACAGACTGATGCTCTACCACTGAGCCAAACCGGTTTCGGCTGCTAAAAATTTTTAAAGTTTTTTTTATTACATGCTTTGATAGTCATCCTTTGTCAAATATATAAAATGCCTGATGATAGTTCTTATTCTACTAGGTTTCCTTCTCTTTTTATAAAAATATATATTTTTGTTGATTTAGAGAGGACAGGAGAGGGAGAGAGAGAGAGAGCTAGAGCTAGAAACATCAATGATGAGAGAGAATCATTGATCGGCTGCCACCTGCATGCCCCACACTGGGATTTGAGTCTGCAACCCGTTATATACCTTGACTGGGAATTGAACTTTGACCTCCTAATTCATAGGTTGATGCTCAACCAATGAGTCATGCTGGGTGGGCTTAATTCTACTTCATTTAAATTAAATGTATGGGATATGCAAAAGGTACCTCTTACAAGAGGGTGTGGGTGAACTTATGATGTACCTTGATAATGTGTTTAAAGTGAAATAGGAAGACTGAGTTTCTGAACAATGGGAATGTTTCTGGAGTCACTATTTACAGATAAAGTAATAATCATTTTATTTTCAAATATTTATTTTTTGGTAATCCTCACCCAAGGATATTTTTCCATTGATTATTCTTAGAATGGAAGGGAGGTGGAAGACAGAGAGAGAAACATCAATGTAGGAGAGACATCGATTGGTTGCTTCTAGCACATGCCCTCACAGGGCCAGGGATGGAGCCTGCAACTGAGGGAGGCATGTGCCCTTTACTGGAATCAAACCCAGAACCCTTCAGTCCACGGGCCAATGTTCTGTCCACTGAGCCAAACCGATTAGGGTTATTTTCAAATATTTAAACTTAATTTTAAATATCTTAATGTTCTTTAAGAACAGTAAAATCTCATTTATCTTCTTAACTACATCAGAAAACTGGGAACAAGAGACTTAGAAGTTTCTCTGGGAGTTTAGGCATTTGATTTAGCATTAATTTAAGCTCCAGGAGAAGTTTAACTACCTTCTCTACTGACTTTAGGCTTTGTTCAGGAGAGTCTTCAGTACCATCCATCAATTCAGACGTCAAATTTTTAATCGGTGCTTGTTACTTGCCAGATGCTTTTCTAACATGAGAGACAGTAAAAGTTCCTGCCCTCTAGGTGTTTACATTCTAGTGGGGGAGAAAAATCAACAAATAGTGAATATAACCTTGCTATAATTCCTCAGATCTATTTATCTTGCTTCATTCCGTATTACCGAAACCACTCTTTACTGTGCTTATTATTGATATTCATGTTATTATGTTAAATATAGTGGATACTTTTCTGTTGATCTTTTAAAATCTCTCCAGGATTTAACTATTTTTGTGGAGTCCTTGTCCCAGTGAATGATAGTTTTTCTTCAAATTCCTCTGACTTCTTTTATAGCATTCTGTTTTGGTTTCCTGCTAGGTTTCTGGCTACTCCCCTTTTACTCTTGTAATGCTGCTTTTCATGTTCTAAAACTTAAGCCAGAACATGTTACTACTCTGTTATCTCTGTCTCCCAACCAGAATGTAATCTTTGTAAATTTATCATGTTTTTTCTTATATAAAGTTGCATATTCAATAACTAAAACTTTTTCTGAAAGATAGTAAATATTTAGGCTTTTTGGGCTATACATATAGTTTCTATCACAACTGCCCAACTTGTTGGAGAATGAAAACAGCCAGAGAAAGTAAACGAATGGCATCCTATGTCCCAAAAAAATTTCATTGGCACTGAAGTTTGAGTTTCATGTAATTTTATCGGCACACATATTTTTACTTTCTGTTTATTTTTAACCACTTACAGATAGAAAATAGTTTTTTAGCTCACAAGCCTTACAGAAAGAGCCAGGCAATGGGCTTTACTTTGCTGATGCCTGGAATTAGGTAGAACAGCATCTGCACATAGTAGACACAAGTGAATAATTTTCCCCCCCAGAAGTAACTGGAAACTGTGTAATACTTATGTTGATTTCTTTATGTAATCTTTATGTTTAATTAAGTTTTTTGTTTGTTTGTTTTGTTAATCCTCACCCAAGGGTATTTTTTCCCATTGCTTTTTAGAGGTTAGCAAGGGAGAGAGAAACCAATGTGAGAGAGGTGCATTGATTGGTTGTCTCCCTCAGATGCCCTGACTAGGGTCTGGGATCTAACCTGTAAGCCAGGTACATGCCCTTGACTGGGAATTGAACCCACAACCTTTCAGTCTGTGGGCCAGCAAACACTAACCACTGAGGAACACTGGCTAGGGCTCATGTATTTTGTTTTAGAATCAAAATAAATTAGTTAAGAGTCTGAATTATATATATATAACTATAATTTGAAGAAAATAGTCAGATTGCAGAAATTACAAATATAACTAACTGTCCTTTTGCCTGAAGGGGGGAAAAACAAAAAGATTGGTGGAATGTGGCATTATATGTAAGATTGGGAAGCAATTGAAACTTTAGTTTTTTTATTCTTCTGTGTCTCTCTTCTGTTAGATATAAGGTGAGCCCTCAATGTCAGGGGTCCTGGTAAAACACAAAGCACACTCGGGAGCCAGGAGCAAGGCACATATCTCTGTTCCTGCAGGAGGGTGCGCATTCACATGGTCTGGGAGCACGTGCACACTGGGTGGCGGTCTGCTCGGCTCTCATGCCTGGCACATGTCATCTGTTCCTCATTCTTGTTCGGAAGAGCTTAGGCTTACTCTCTGGCGCGATTGGCTAATTTAAAGGAAGGCGTAGACCTTTACTGTTTCAAAATGGCAGCCCCTCGCGGGAGCTAAAATGGCAGCTGCTGAAACTCTTCTTTGACAGAAAAGATTGTTTATTCTCGCATAACCAAAAACTAAATCCTTCCCCAAAACATCATACTCAGTAATAAACACATATTAGGTAGGATTGGACTGGTGCTTGAATAATGTTTCTTTTTTTTAATTTAAGGAGTCTGGATATCTCTAATAGTATTTTTAGTCTTCTGGAGGCTCGGTGTATGAATTTGTGTACGGTTGGGATCCCTCTGCCTGGCCGGTGATTGGGGCTAATCAGGGCCGTCGCACAGTCCGTGGGGTGAGGAGGGACTGTGTGAGGTTGGCTGGCCAAGTGGGAGGTGGGGAGAGGAACTGCAGGAGGTTGGCTGTAGAAGTGCACTGACCACCAGTGGAAGCTCCTGCATTGAACATCTGCCCCCCAGTGGTTAGTGCCCATCATAGTGACTGGTTGTAATGGTCGCTTAGGTTTTTATACATATCTATGTAGATTAACATTTCATTTTACAGTATTATCATTGTTCTCTCTAGATATACCTGTGTTTCCTACGATCACAGCCACTGTGACTTTCCAGGAGTTTCGATATGATGAGTTTGACGGCTCCATCTTTACTATACCTGACGACTACAAGGAAGACCCGAGCCGTTTTCCTGATCTCTGATGACACGAGCATGACTCCATCTCACCAAGGAAAACAAGAGGGTGCAGAGACCCCATAGGGAGGTGAAGGAGGAGGGACAGACTCTTTCAGTGAAGAAAAGGGAATTTCGTGGAACTGACACATCAGTGATATGACATAATGAAATGGGCCTCTAATAAGTTTCCTGATGTGCCATTTTCAGTCTTTTTAAATATATACATATTATAGTGTAATAGTTTGACACCTAAATGACCCTAAGTACTTCTTATGTAAAACAGCTATGAGTGCTGTGATTTGTTTTTAAAAATTTTTACACTTCTTGTTGAAATATATATGCATATATATCTATATCTATATCCATAGTTATATCTAAAACACTCCTGGACCAGTAACATAAATTAAATGTCTTAAGAGATATGAAGCCCTTTACAGTTGTCATCTTATATTCAAGGTGGCATTTATAAATATTCCTTCCAACTTTGTTTTCATAAAATGTAAACTATGTAACTTTATGTATAGTTCAGTAATTTGAATGTTTGTTCAATATGATGAACTAGAAAGGAATGCAGTTTTCTGTAGATGAATGAACCAAATGGTAACCATTAAACAATTGCATTTATATGTTGCAATACATTTCAGAAGGAGCATTCACTCTGCAGGGAATAAGGTACCTCCTTTAGCACCTTAGTGCAATTCATTGTGGTGCTATTTGTTTTTACCTGAATTCTTTCTTCAATGGTAAATGTTTGTTACTAATCTTCCTTTCAGAGAACCTCTATTTTTTTTTCTAAACTTGAGTTTTAAAGCCTTTTTTGTGTTCATAATAGGATATGACTAGCATGCTTAAGTATAGTCCTCTTCCAAATCTCAGCACTTTAAAAATATTCCAAAATTTTAAACTTGCTTCCTAATTAACTGCACATCATTCTTATTATTTTATTTGTTTTTAGTGTTCATGTCAGTTTTAAACAACTCACATTTTGGACTCCCTACATATTTAATGCTTTCAAAGTAAGGTAAAAACATTTTATATGCTAACAGAATATATTTGTTATAAGTTAAATTCCAAAAATGTACACAAGATTGATAATTCCTACTGTTTATTTTTTTAAGTCACAAGAAAATATTTATTGGTTTTAATTATCTTCAAAGTGTTAAAAAATCATGCATTACTCATTTTCACACTTAAAATTTTTCATGTTTATTCCAAGATGGTTTGATGGTCCAAGAATGAAAATAAATTAGGGAGAATAAGGTATAACAGATATAATATGTTATGTTGTATTTAAGAAATTAGCTAAAGAAATGCTTTTTAAATGTATCCTGATAAATGTGTGAGAATGCATCTGTCAGGTTTTTTAGAGTGACCAGTAATTTAAACATTTTCAAGAATTTTAAATAATTTGAATGAGTTTAAAAACCTTTATTGAAAAGATGATTATTTACAAATCCAAAACATCAATCATAAGAAAAATTTTATAATAAACATCTTTAACGCTGCATCTTTCATGCTGATAACATAATTGAATATGTTGACATTTTATTAAATACATTTTATAATAAAGAAAAATAATGATAGTTAAAAATTCAAAGGCCAATTACTATCTGATGTGGGTCTGTTGAATTTTGTGGAGAGTTGAAACCCAGACTAGGTTTGTTAAATACAAGTTGATCCCAATTATTTTGGGAATCCTTACAGATCAAGTGACTTAGAAACTGAATTACCTGGTCAGCAATCTGTGATGTTTGCGACACTGAATGGTAGTTATCACTGTTGCTTTTAGGCTCCCTTTCTCTTTGGGAATATGTTGTATTTTCAGGACTATGCTATAGATTTTTCACAAGTACCGACAATTTAGTCAGGGGGAAAACATGGAAAATTGCAACTTGGAACTTATCAATTTCCTAAAAGCTGTGAATATTTTGCTGGGGTACACTGGAGGTAGGAAGACTACTGAAAACTTTTGCACTTGGATTTTGTTTTTAACTCAACTTTTTTCTTTCATAAAGGTTAGTAGAAAGAGATGATCCATTCCAAATGTCTTTTATTTGGTCATAAAAAGCAAATGTCAGTATCTTATAATGGTGAAAACAAGGAGTTATTAATGCAAATAAACTTTTCACATTAAACTTTTCAAAATGTGCCTTTTAATCCAGTTAACGAATGAAGCTGTATTCTGTGTTTCAAGTAACTAAATCAAAACACCATGTATTTTAATTAATCTCACATGAAAATCTAGATTTTGTAGTGTAGGTACATAAAGTTCTGTGTCTTCTATTTGTGATTGAAGAAAATTAAAACGTGGGGGCCTAAGAAATGGTTACCTTAAGTAGCTATTTTGAAGAGCTCAATATTTCTGCCCACCAGTGTAGTATCAAAAGAAGATATGATTCTTGTCTTAAAGAAAATAATTTCTGAGAATTTGCTTCATAGAGAATTGACAGATTTCATAAAAAGGAAGCATAAAGCAGATGCTCTGATTATTGTGAAGCTAGGAACATACGATGGTCTGAAAATTAACACATTTCAGAGAAGCTAATAGCTGACAGAAGCTGAAAACAATTTTATTTCTGCTTTGAATTGATATTGAATCCAACTCACACTAATAGTTTTTATTTTATTTTATTTTTTAAAAATATATTTTATTGATTTTTACAGAGAGGAAGGGAGAGAGATAGAGAGCTAGAAATGTCGATGAGAGAGAAACATCGACCAGCTGCCTCTTGCACACCACCTACTGGGGATGTGCCCGCAACCAACGAACATGCCCCTGATTGGAATCGAACCCGGGACCTTTCAGTCCTCAGACCGATGCTCTACCACTGAGCCAAACCAGTTTCAGCTAGAAAGAGTTTTTATACTGTTATTCATGTATAGTTTATAATCCACACCTTACAGGAGGGTAGTGAATAATGATTTTTAGTGATCCCTTCTTATTTTTCAATATGTCTACAGAATTGATCCTGCTTCAAGGAGCCAAAAAAGATCTGGACTAAATGTTTCCATATTGATATAAGGATTGCTTCCTTTTGCTCATTTATGTTCCTTTTATTTGCAAACTAGAGGTCGGGTGTATGAAATTTGTGCACTGATAGGGTCCCTTGGCCATGCCAGTGATTAGGGCCTATCTTGACCTTCCCGCTGCCGCCCCCTGGTGGTCAGCGTACGTCATAATGAGCGATCAAACTTCTGATCTCCTGACAATTTGCAAATTAGGCTTTTATATATATAGACAGCATGAGTAAAAAAGTTGCAGTATTACACTAGATGAATTTGAACACTAGGTAAATTTGAAGTCCTGCTTGCTTTATTTTTTAAGTCTTGCCTTTAAAATTGAGTGAGAGAATTTTTGATTAGCATGGAACACAATATGCCTCTGCTGTTAACTCCAGCAAGAGGTATCTTACCAATGTTTTCTAAAATTAAGAAAACACATCCTTACCAAAATTTTTATATTTGGAAACTAAAATTTCAGACAACTGACAGTGAAACTTGCCCAAAGGAATAAAGGACAGAGGATATTACACTATTTGTGAAATGCAAAATTAAAGCCTATTGGTTATGTACTACAAATTAGCAAAAACTACTTTTTTGCAAAGCATTTTGTCAGAAATCTGGAGCAGTAGTATCTTAGATTGTCATCTAAACACATCATCTCAATTATTTTTGCATATTTGATCTTTACAGAACTACCTAGTGATGAATTTCTAAAATTATAATCTTTCAGTATATTTTTATTCATAATGGCACCTATGATACAGTTACAATTTCACTCTTGCTACAGCGCCTGCAAATACCTAAGCTAAATCTAAGGATATTAAAGAAAGGTACTTGGCAAGCATTTCTGAATTTGATCGATTTGCAGATAAAAAAAAACTTGCCTAAAGTAAAAAACATGTAATAAAAAACAACATACAGGGTAAACTAAAAACTAAAAAAAAAAACCCCACAAAAAAAAAACGAAAAAAACCCTTCAAATTACTTGTACCTCCCATAGCATTCTTGGTCACTAAAGGCTGACAATGACTGGCTGGGATGCTTTAATGAAAATGGGTGGTGTAGCAGTTTTGGAGAGCAGAAGCGAAGCAGAAATTTTGTAATTTACCTGCTGGCGCCTTTGGGATGAGGTAGAAGCCAGGCCTGCAGTTACTTTACCTTCTCCTTCAGCTTATGGGCCAGATATGTGTTTAGCTTCATGATGCAGAATCCTGGCTTCTGCCATGCCACCCAGTTCAGAAGCAATGATACCTGAGTTTTAGCCCATCCTTACTGGTTCCAGCTTGTGCTTGGGGTTCTAATTTAATCTTCCCTCTAATTATCCATCTTCCCTTCCCAACTGCCTGCAGGCTTCAACGTCAGGCATCGTACAAAGCCCATAACCAGATCTGAAACTGGTTAACCAGCTCCCAAAATTAAGGTCAAATCCCTGTAACAAATCTTTTTTTTCTTAGAATGCTGAGTGGTAAAAAAAAAAGGTAAATCTATGTGTCTTCTAAAACAATATTCAAATATGAAAATTTTAACATTTCACTTTTGTGACTGTTAACCTTTAATTTCTTATGTCCAAAGCATCATACTTTAGCTAACTAGCTTAGCATGAGTGACCATGCACTGGAGAAATAACCTTTACAAAGTGACATTTTGGAAAGAATGAGAACATGTCAGTTTCCAATTATTTTTTTTGTATAAGAGAACATTTATTTGGTAAATCACAGGAAAATTTCTAGAAGTGGGCTTAGGAAACAAGTTATGGAGGTAAAGAAAAGCCCATGGAACTTGGTAAAAAGCATGTGGGGCAGGGAAGAGGAAGGAGATGGGAAAGGCATGGGTGTGTTCCCAGGAAGGAGAGCATCTTTCCCAATTATGTTTGTAAGGACATTATTTAAAAAAATGTTTGGCCTGGCTGGTGCGATTCATTGGTTGAACATCGACTTATGAACCAGGAGATCAAGGTTCAGTTCCCAGTAGGGGCACATGCCTGGGTTGTGGGCTCAATTCCCAGTATGCAGGAGGAAGCTGACCAATGATTATCATTGATATTCCTGTCTTTCCCTCTTTGAAATGAATAAAAATATATAAAATACGTTCGTTATTCTGTGAATTCTGTAATAAGTATATATATATTTTAAAAGTAGTAAGTGTACTCTTAAGAATATTCCCACAGTTGAATTTAATATGGTTCACATGTATTTTGCTAAAGAAATGCCTCCTGCACACTCCATACTGGTTATGTGCCCTCAACCAAGGCACATGCCCTTGACTGGAATCGAACTTGGGACCCTTGAAATCAGCAGGCCAATGCTCTATCCGAGCCAAACCAGTTAGGGTGAGATTTAAAAAAATATATATTTTTATTGCTTTCAGAGGAGGAGGAGAAATAGAAACATCAATGATGAGAATCATTGATTGGCTGCCTTCTGTATGCACCCTACTGGAAGATGGAGCCTGCAATCGAGCATGTGCCCTTGATCAGAATCGAACCCCACAGGCTGATGCTTTATCCACTGAGCCAAACCCGCTTGGGCTCCTAAAAGAATTTCTAAGTTAATTTCACATACAGTGAAAATGGCAACAAAATTAAAACAGTGAAATAGGCTAATAAATCCACAACTCCAGAATTAGTCTTTTAGAAAGGACCTATGCTAATAAAGCCTTCGGAATAGACATTCTGGATGCTCTTGAAAGTCCCAGTATCATTTCCATAACATCCATATTTAACCCAAGTAAACACAAATACTGATTGCATGGCCCTGACGCACTTAATCTAGAACTCAACTGAAGAAAGTGGGTCTTGTTTGCTAGAGGAAAAGTTGGCTTGTACATACATTCTCCTTGATACCCACACCAGAACTTGACTCAGTTGTAAGATGCAGCTTGAAGTACAATTAGTTTGTACTCTTCTAGTACAAGCCATTTGTTCTTTCCCTAAGTGTTTAACATTTATTGACCCAGGCAGCTCCCCCAATTATCAACTACATTGTATGCCAGGTATCAATCTCATATCACAATTAGGAAATGCAAATTAAGAGATACAGGTCTTCCCAGTTGTAAATGAAACCAAAACTCATGACTAGACTCATATAGCCACTACCTCATTCACTCCTGAAGAATTTAAGCAAATAAATAGGACAAACATTTTTTCTAACAAAACCACTTTTATTTTTTAATTACTACTAAATACAGAACAGAACTCAAGTGTGGAGACAGTCACTATTCACTTGATTATCTGTGTTAAAAGGCTTGTGTCCCTGTGCAACCCTATCATTGTGCATAAGAGGTTCACTGAAAAATAACCTAGGTATGGGTTCCTTTCACTGCATTTTACATCAGTGGCACTATTTTACAGCCCATAACTTCTTAATCCCTTTTGAAAAGTTAAGTATATTTGTATTCAGAGATTACAAGTGAGGAAATAGACTAATACTAGGTTTAACCAAGTGCAACTGCCAATATTTACTGTTTTCATTTATAAAAATGTCAGTCATAAGGTTCAACCATTACCTACTAAGAAAGTTTTTGTAGGTTTAAATGTCACTTGTGTTCAACTTTTAAAATGACTATTTAGGGCCATTACCAGAACTTAACTATAGACAAAATTCCTTTTCATAAAATCTTTAAAAAGTTACTTACTATAAACTGTAAAAAGAATGCTGCTTTTCTATATGGCATTTCAAATTTAAAAGTTAAAAAAATTATCAGACTTGGATTAAGAGCTATACTTCCAAGCCTCATTTCCCCCTTAATCCCAGCCACTCTAACACTACTCATTTCATAAATGAATAAATATAATATTTAGTATTGTACAGTAGATACATACCATTGAGTTGCTATACTATTCCAGCAAAGGCAAATATTTCACTGAAAATATAAATTTAGTAGATATAGGAGGGACCATTTGTTTATCATAGTTTTACTCAACCCAAACCCTACACCCAAAATGAGAAATTTACACTAAGAAATACTGTTTTAGATAGAAATTAAAGCAACTTTAACAATTCTGATGGTAACTAATCACTACAGTGATAGGATTGTATAGTAAGTATGTGGATTGTAGGAGAAAGTACTTGATTTGTAAAATGAATGAGGTAAATGTCATACATTCAACAGCTTGTAAATAAATACCAATACGGTTTTACAGGAACATGAACATAGGTTTAAGGGTTTTATTATCAAAGTCTTGTAAAACAATTTCAGAAACTGTACATCAACATGGCACAGACTGTAGCCTACTTTTGTTTTTACTGCACAAAAGTGAAGCTGGAAACTCCTGTAACTAAGAAAACAGTTGTCTAAACTACTCTGCATTAAACATGGAATCACTGTGGGCATAAGATTACTACTGCAGTAACAATAACACAAATTTATTGTTTTTATACAACTTGAGATAAAATAAAAAGTACATTATCAAGTATATTTGTCTCACTTTAAAAGCATATGGTCAATTTAAAATGCACTACCCCTTTTTTCCAACACTTAAGATTAAAACAAATTAAAGTGAAAAATTGAAAATTAGGACGAGATAACTCTTACAGATGGACTCAGGATAGGCAGTTAGCATTCAATGATACAGGTGTGGAATAAATTATTTCAGGGGAAAAAATTCCCAAACACCTTATGAAAAAGTATACAACTCTACTTCAAAATATGCTATTTACTTACTGCCAAAGACAGTTTCATTTGAAATCTTGTTTCTGTAATTAAAGCCTAAGCAGCCATCAAAAAAGGTTAGTGCATATATAACCTTTCCAAGTTAAACAAAAGCCACAAAATTTCAGCCACAAGGCTTAGAGGATTATCTAATTTAAATGCTTCTTTCCAGATGTATCTATAAGAATGTTAATTTGTCATGTGAACAAACAAGACCATTAAGTAGATCCATCATGTTGGGAGATTTTAATGACAATGAGGATACTCCTGCCACAATTAACATGCAATCAGTGCATTCTCTACGTGGCTCTATTACGGCAATGAATCAAATTCTAGAAATACTATGTGAACTTACTTAATAAAGGAGATTATACAACATAAACAATCCATGCCTGCTGTAGATGCATGCAGCTTTTCACTTCTGTTATGAAGCAGTGCCAGAATAGTCAAGCTGCTTGGTTTCTCAATCAGATTTCACCACATCAAGAATTGGTTACCCACACAGCATTTTCTAAAAACTTTTGGATGTAAATAATATCAATATCAGGAGCTTTATAACCATTTATAGCTCAGAGCTGTATACATCTAAGGTTTGAGATGAACAAATACAGCATGAAGAGATCACACAAAGGAATGACACTGATGCATGTATACAGGTGGATTCTCATGGAGGCCATATTCAGTCACTCATATCCATGTCTTCTTCATGATGATCATCACCATTCACTTTGGATTCTCTCAGGGGATCACCAGTTCCCTTTTCCACAGAACATTCTTTTGTTTTGGGGGAAACTGGTTCTGCTGGTTTCTTCTCTTCTTTTTTCTCTTTCTCGCTGTCATACCCCTGTTCCTCTTCATCATAATCCCGTGTAACCTGCTTTGCCAAGGAGAATAATAAAAGTAAATGTCTTCACAGAAAAATCAATTCTTGTAAGTACTAATACCACCTAAAATACCAAAATAAATTAGTTTTGTAAACATACTTTTACATCTTTATCACTCTCAGACTTTCTTTCCCGGTCCTTTTCTTTATCTTTACTTTTCTTCTTCTTGCTTGTTGATCGTTCTCGTTCATCTCGGCCTCTTTCTTTTTCTTTATCTTTCTTCTTCTCCTTTTTATGCCTAGGATAACAGGAAAATGTTCTCAAAGAAAAAAAAGATGCTTTAAGGGATACGCTTAATTTTTACCCATAAGCATAGCAGTAAATTTTAACTTGTTTAGATGCTAAGCTTGACCCAAGTTCACATGATATAAAAAGGATTCAGGGCCCTGGCTGGGTAGCTCAGTTGGTTAGAGCATTGTCCTGATTCACCACTAAGTTGCAGGTTTGATCTCTTGTCAGGGTACAACAGGGGTGGGGAACCTTTTTTCTGCCAAGGGTCATTTGAATTTTTATATCAATTCCTGGGCCATACAAAATTATCAACTTAAAAAATTAGCCTGCTGTATTTGGTCAAACATTTAATTAACTCACCCCTAAAGCCTTTGCAGGGCCAGACCAGAATTTAGTGTGCCCCGCCATCTGGACGTTTCCCACCCCTGGACATCAAGAAGCAACCATGAATACATAAATAAGTGGAATAACAAATTGATGTTTTTCTCTATTAAATTAATTAAAAAACAAAAAACAACACTAGCCCAGCCAGTGTGGCACAGTGGTTGAGTATCAAACTATGAATCAGGAGAGGTCAAGGTTCAATTCCCAGTCAGTGGTAGGCTCAATCCTCAGTGTGCGGTGTGCAGGAGGCAGCTAATCAATGATTCTCTCACATCACTGATGTTTCTCTCCCCACTTCTTATCTATAATCAATAAAAATATATTTAAAAAATATAGAAAATATCCATTTTCAAAACATTGGATACAAGCCATGCTCAGCAATAGAAGAAAACTAATTTGGTTACAGGCATGAAATGCTTAATCCTTAACTGATTTGGTTACAGGCATAAAATGTTCAATATTATAACTGTCTCAGGTCATGAAAGAAAAATAAAAGCACATTCATAAGCATTTTATGGAAAATAAAGTTCTGAAAGTTAGAAAGAGTATACCTAAATCATTTAGCATTCTTACCTCCTAGGGGACGGTGAGCGAGACAGTTTTCTTTTCGGAGACCTGGGCTTTTTAGGAGATCTTGTGCCACTCCTGCTTCGTCGACGTCGTCTCTCTCTAGGACCACAAATGTACAAACTACACTTTAAAATACAGACACATCATAGCAGATGTGTCTATGATGGACATTTTCAAATATAGATTTGAGCTCAAGTATCAAATGAGTAATAATAAATCACAATTCTTTTCCAAACTATATGCCTTTCTTTTAATGCTCTCAAGAAAACCCTAATTTCCAGCAATTCTTAAAAAAAAAAAAAAAAAAAATCACATTATCATAACATCAGATTTGTTAAACTCAAGGAGATTAACAATCAGTTTTTGATTCATGTATCAGTGTCCAGAAGAGGTATAGGATCATACGTTATAATAAAAACATTACTTTTAAATTAACTGGGTAAAATTCAGAGAACTAGAGTTAATGTTAACATAGGAGCAAATTGATTCCCTATACTCCGGCAAACCATAGCCCCAACTGATTTGAGCAGTCATTGTTTAAGAAATATATCCCTTTCCCTCTCTTTGAAACAGGGTGTAGAACCTTTTTCCTGCCAATAGCCATTTGGATTTTTGCAACATCATTTGTGGGCTATACAAAATTATCAACTTAAAGATTAGCCTGCCTTTGCACATGGTTGAGCAACGTCTGTGCACTAAAAGGTTGCTGGTATGATTCCCAGTCAGAGCACATGCACAAGTTGAAGGCTCAATCCCCGGTTTGGGGGGAGTGGTTGAAGGAGGCAGCCAATCAATGTTCTGCTCTCACAGTTTTTCTCTCTCACTGTCCCTTCCTTGCTCTTGGTAAGATATTCCCCACTTCTGGTTTAAAGTGTGGCTTAAAAAAAAATTTTGCTGGTTACTATTCTCAAAAGTTACTAGGACTTCTGAGATTTCAATTTAGGCACAAAATAAAAATAAAACCCCATAATTTCAGTAGTCTAGAATCTATAAAAGCTTTAGAAAAACAAAACAAAACTCAACCAAACAAAATATTACCTTTACAGCCCTGTGTGGCACATACCCCCTTCCCTTCTCCCTTACAGTCCTCGAAACATTATACACAATTTTTCATTCATCAAATATTAAGGCGATCCAATAATTAAGCAGTGTAAAGTGCTTATGAATGAAGGAATAAAGGAATAGGCAAAAACAAGAAAAAGAAAAAAAAAAGCCACTGGTTAGCAAGGTAAGAAAAAATACATGCTGCACACCCCATCTTTCCCTAAGACCTAGATTGGCATTTTCTTAAATATTTACACCTGGTTTCATTTTCTGTTTTAAATAGTTGGTTTTCCGTATCTGCAGGTTTTACATCCAAAGATGCCAGAGGGCCAACTGTATACATTATTCTACAGCATTTAATAAAGGGTGTCCCCTCCCCCCAAATGTATACACATATTTTGAGTAATTATAAAGGCAGTGTTTATAAATTTTCAAAATTGAGGTATCAGCTGTTAAACTGTACATACATCTTTTGGGAATACCCTGTATAAGGGACTTGAACTTCTTGAATTTTGGTTCCTGCAAGGGGTCCTGGTATATTTACCTTTTCTGAAAATACTCCTCCCACTGAAAAAAACCCCTTTAGGTATCACACCCCAACCATTAATTAAAGGTTTATCTATTTGTCTTTAAAGGTTTATCTATTCTGGACACTTCTTGTCCATGGAATCCTACAATTTATAGTTCTTTGTGACTGACTTCTTGATGAGTCTCATCCATATGGTAACATGTATCAGTACTTTATTTCTTTTCATTGCTGGATAGTTCATTGTATAGTTATACCATTTTGTTCTTACATTAGTTAATGAACATTTGGATTGACTTTTTGGTTATTATGAGTAATAATAAAATTAGTGTACAAAGTTTTGAGTGTAATATTTTCACTTCCTTTGGGTATATCCTTAGAAGTGAAAATACTGTGTCAAAACTTTTTAAGGAATTACCAATTGTTTTCCAAAGCATTTGCACCATTTTATATTCATGCCAGCAACACACAAGAGTCCCAGGTTCTCCACATACTTGTCAACACTAGTTACCGTCTTTTTTTTTCTTTTTTTTTATAATAACCATCCTAGTGTCTGTAGTTTTGATTTGCATTTCCCTGATAGACTAATGTATATCTTTTTATGTTTATCAGACTCTTGCATATATTCTTTGGAGAAAAGTCAATTCAGAGTCTTTGGCCATTTTTTAATTGGGTTGTCTTTCTACAATTGAACTGTAATAGTTTTTTACATATTTCAGTTACAAGTCCCTTTTCAAATATATAATTAGTTACTTTCTAGTACTCTGGTTGTCTTCAAGTTCTTTTTTTTTTTTTTTTTTTTTTACTAGTATTTATGTATGTTACTTTAATATTTAATGACTGTTGTTTGTCTCATCAAGTTCTTGATAGTATTCTTTGAAACAAAAGTTTTTAATTTTGATGATATCCAAAATTTACATTTATCTTTGGTTATTTATACTTTTGATGTCTTATCTAGAAAACCATTGCCAAATTCAGGGTCATGAAGACTTCTGTTTTTCTTTTCTTCTAAGAGATTTTTTAGTTTTAGATTTTACATTTAGGTCATGCAACCATTTTGAATTAATTTTTGTATATAGAGTGACCCTCCTAGCATTTAATAATCAATATAAGAAAATAACCACTACCGCAAAATGTGTAAACAGATTGGAAGAAAACGGAGTTACTAAGTACGGCCAGCCCTTACTACCGTGTTTCCCTGAAAATAAGACATCCTCCGAAAATAAGACCTAGCTCATGGAAAAATAAGACATCCCCTGAAAATAAAATCTAGCGCATCTTTGCGAACAAAAATTAATATAAGACACTGTCTTATTTTCGGGGAAACGGCAGCTTCATATAAACACCAAAGTTTAAATACCAGTGCAAAAAACATTCCTGTGGAGTAAAGTTAGCAACATATAAATTTTCACACTATGTCAGAATTACAAGTCTAAGAATGATACAAATTTGAACTTGACTGCTTGCTATTATTTTATCAACGAAACCTTATATATAGGGGAAAAAACTCTATTAACGTGGACATTCAAAGAATGACTATGTAATAAAATAAATTTAATGTAGTAATTTAAATCAGGATACAAAATGCATGTAGCAAACATAAAAATGACCTCTGTTGAACTCCATATTATGTCAAATACACACTACACCAGCTGTCGCCGACTGGTGGTCCACAGGCCACTGATGGTCCACGCTGTCCTACAGGCTGGCCAACGCTACTCTACACCAAGCATGTCAAACTCTTCTAAACCATAAATAGTAAGTAAAAAGAACTTGCCTATCCCTATATGTACTAGAAAACATGCAATGTTCACAATCTATTGATATACTTGCAAATAGTTTTAAGAAATGCCAAGAGTTTATAATGCCTTACCTGCTTGCACTTCTGGACCGTCTGGCTGTGCTGTAACTTTTTGGTGGTGTTTTGGAACGTTTCTTTTCTTTGTCTTCTTTCTTTTTGTCTCTAATAAATGAACATAATTTATGAATGCATTAGTAAGTTTCAGACAGTAAAAACTTATATAATGCATCAAATAAACACAAAAGCAGTGATATCTAATCCCATTTTTAAAATATGAACATTTTGATACTGTATGTAGAAATATAATTTGAATGGTATTACTTGTGATTAAACATTTTTAAGAAAAAATTCTATTTTTCTGGTATTCTACAGAAAACTTCTCTCCAAGAGAGCATTGACTATAATGAGAAAATGATAAAGGATATTGGCCAGTTCCTTGACTGACTGGCACAAACACCAATCCTATAGAATAAAGCCTAATATACAGTGTATGGTCAGTCACTATGATGCACACTAACCACCAGGGGGCAGATGCTCAGACCAGTAGGTCAGCTTGCTGCTGGGTCCTGCCAATTGGGATTGGGCAAGATGGGCCAGACATGCCCTAGAGCCCTCCCGCAGTTCCTCCCCAGCCCGTCATGCACCTTTTGGGTACCTGGGCCTGGCCTAATCTGGGACCCGTTGGGGGTTGTTAGAGAACTGGTATTGGCCTGATCTTGTAGCCCAGGCTGAGGGATCCCATTGGTGCATGAATCCATGCACCGGGCCTCTAGTAGTTTAATAATTGTCTCTAGGCTCTTTAACAGACCTTTTTCTCAGTGATCCCAATTCACCATTGCTCTATGTCCTCTGTCAGGCCAAAGCTCATTATAATGCACTATCAAAATTATTAGTATTCTTCCAAAGCACCCACAGGTTAACCTCTTTCATGGACCTGGCCAACTTCCTACCTTTGTTTCTGCTGCTAACTATTCTGGACTACCTGGTGCTACCAGAGAAAATATTGCATCATAATCAACTGGTACTGTAACCATACCAATTTTTGAGTCTTTTAACAGATTGTTATAAATTGACTTTTATTCCCTGCAGCATGTTTTTAAAAAGTATATTTTATTGATTTTGTACAGAGGGGAGGGAGAAGGATAGAGTTAGAAATATCCATCAGCTGCCTCCTACATAACTCCTACTGGGAATGTGCCGGCAACCAAGGTACTAGTCCTTGATCAGAATCGAACCTAGGACCTTCCAGCCTGCAAGGCGATGTCTATCCACTAAGCCAAACCAGTAAGGGCTGAGCATGTTTTATAAAGAATATTATTTCTTTAAAACTGTTTATTACTTGTGCTCAGTCTTCTCCTAGCATCCCTTTGATACAAATGTTTTGTTTCACAGTGTCCCCAAGTTTCCTTACACTATACTCCTGATCTTTAATTTTTTCCTTTTGCTGCTCTAACTGTTTTTTTTCCTACTTTGTATTTCAAGTCATTGATTTTATCTTCTGCCCCACTCAATCTACTTTTGAATCCTTCCACTGTATTCTTTATGTCAGATATTAATCTTCATTTCCAATTGATTCTTATTTATGGTTTCTATTTTCTGTTTCATGCTGTTAGAGTTCTAAGTTCCTGAAAATCTTAAGTTCCGTGATCATCTTTATAACCATTACTTTGAACTCCATGTCTGATAAATTGCTTGCCTCCTTTTGACTTAGCTTTCTTTCTGGAGTTTCCCCTTTTTATTTGTCTCCCCATGTTTGCTGTCCCTTTGTATTTGTTTCTATGTATTAGATCAAATTGCTATGCCTTCCAGTCTTCATGGGATCGTGTTATACAGTAAGTGTTTTGTGGGACTCATTGCTGCAGTCTCTCGGATCTCTTGAGTTGGGGTGGTAGGGAGCCTAGGAATGTCCCTTGTATAATTTGGGATTTCCTATTATAATTGCGTCTTGAATATTGTTGTCCCATTTGTGGAATCTCCTCAGGATGGGTGAATGTGAGGCTCACTCCCATCCACATTGTGTGTTGTGCAGGTGTGCATCTGATCACAAACAGTCTTAGACAACAGGCCTCCCACAGGCAAAGGTCTTTGCTTCTAAGCTAACAGCTTGCCTAAGATCAACTGAGAACACGTGTTCCCTGTGAGATTTGCTACAGAAATACTGCCTCCCACCTCCCTTAAATCACCATTTTCCCCAAGGCTGTAGACAAAGGGATCAATAATATATTTGTTAAATGAGAAATCCCTTATATCCATAAATATATACATTTATTCTTAACTTTTCCATAATTTTAGAGATTAAAGTATCCCTTGTTGCTCTAAGCTATTCTCCCATCCCTCCCTCCTTGGTCACTCTGTTCCGTCAAGTTACTCCCTCTCTCCGTTCAAGTCACTTCGTTAATCTTCACCAGAGGATATTTTTCCATTGATTTTTAGAGAGTGGAGGGGGGGGGGGGACACACACACACACAGAGAATTCGAGTCACATTGTTTGGTTGCCTCCCATACATGCCCTGACCAGGGCCAGGATCCTTCAGGGCATGTGTGTGAGGAAGCTTGTTTGTTTGACTAAATTAAGAAATGACCCACCCTGTAAAACACAAAGAGTATCAAACAGTCAGCAAAACTATCCCAGAATTTATGTTCCCAGTTGTTTTATGTTTACCAAAATAAATTTTGTTGTTCCCCTATCTTTTTAAAAAATTACATACTTAAATGCATAAATGTGTAAAGAAGTATAAAGAACTGCTCCTAGAAAAATAAGGCAAATATTTTAGAAAGAGATAAAGGACAGTGCTAAAAAAAAGTGTTGTGAAACAATGTGTGACAACTATACATTGAAAACAAAACAAAAAAAAAACAAACAAAAAAAAACCTACCGTATTTTCCGGTGTATAAGACAACCCCCTAATTTTACAGTTAAAACATAGGTTTAGGCCTATATTTGCTGTATAAGACTACCCCTCACTTCCGAGGCAACACCAGTTCTTTTTTAATAGACCGCCTCTCTGACTCTGGCCAATGTGGGCAGGCTTTTTTTTCGTTTCAAAAGTTGTCTTATACGCCGGAAAATAAGGGTAGGCATTTTTCAAGTGATAGAATTCTCTGTGCCATTTTAAAGGTGGTTCAGAAGAAAATAATAAATTTGTATATGTTACCCAAGACTAGCATACTAATTTAAAGTTTAAATGAAAAAGAAAATGAAAAAATAAAATGTTTGCCTTTTATTAAAAAACTTATATTTTTATTGATTTCAGAGGGACAGGGAAAGTGAAAGGTAGAAACATCAATGGTGAGAGAATCAATCAGCTGCCTCCTGCAAGCACCCCACTAGGGATCAAACCTGCAATCTAAAGAAGGGGCCGTGATCAGGAATTCGATCTCCTGGTTCATGGATCAACACTGAATCACTGAGCCATATGAGCAGGGCAATATATTTGCTTTTTAATAATCTTCACTTCGGTTCACTGGTCCCAAATCTTGGGATATGAGACTCTAAATATGGCACAGAGTCAATCTTAACATGTAGCATATATTTATTGATTTTAGATAGGAAGAAAAAGGGAGAAATAGAAACATCAACGGTGAGAGAGAACTGTTTCTCGGGCTGCCTCCTGCAACTCCTATTGTGGATTGAGCCCCCAACCACACATGTGTTCTGACCAGGAGTTAAATTTTGACCTCCTGGTTCATAGGTCAATGCTCAGCCACTGAGTCATAGCGGCCAGGCATTTTACGTATTTTAAAATAAATCTTTATTGTTCATATTACTAATGTTCTTTTTTCCCCCCATCCATTGCTCCCCTCCACCAGGTTCCCACCCCGCCCTCTGACTTTTCCCCACCCCTCATTGTCCCCATCCATAGGTGCACAGTTTATGTTCAGTCTCCTCCCACACCCCCTTCTCTCCTTTTCCCTGAGAATCGTCAGTTCACTTTCACTCCCCTTCCATACCTCTGATTCTATTATATTCAATAGTTAATATTGTTCATCAGATTTTTTAAAAAAAATTTCCTTGGTTTTTAGATTCACTTGCTGATAGTTACATATTTGTTGTTCATAGTTTTTGTCTTTATTTACTTTCTCTTCCGAAAGAACCCCCTTCAGCAATTCATAATTCTGGTTAGGTGTTGAAGAACTCCTTTAGTTTTTTTTTTTTTTATTGGTGAAGCTCTTTATCCGGCCTTCGATTCTGAGTGATAGCTTTGCTGGGTAGATTATCTTTGGCTGTAGGTTCTTACTATTCATCACCTTGAATATTTCTTGCCATTTCCGTCTGGCCTGCATGGTTTCTGTTGAGAAATCAGCTGACAATCATATAGGTGCTCCTGTATAGGTAACTACCTGCTTTGCTCTTGCTGCTTTTAACATTCTCTTTGTCTTTTGCTCTTGGAATTTTAATTATGATGTGTCTTGGTGAGGTCCTCTTTGGGTTACTTTTGTTTGGAGTTTTGTGCGCTTCCTGGACTTGTAAGTCTAATTCTTTCACCAGGTGGGGGAAGTTTTCTGTCACTATTTCTTTCAGTATGTTTTTGCTATCTTGCTCTCTCTCTTCTTCTGGGACCCCCATAATTCTGATGTTGGACCGTTTGAAGTTGTCCCAGAGGATTCTTACATCATCTTCAACTTTCTGTATACTCTTTGTCTTCTTGCTTTTGTGGAGAAGTGTCTTCTGGCTCTTTATGTTCCAAATCTTTGATTTGACTCTTGTGATCTTCCATTGTTTTTGGGACTCTGTATAATATTTTTTGTTTCAGACAATGTATTCTTTATTTCTTGTTGACCCCTTATTTCTTGATTCCTTATTATTTCTAGTTGATCCCTTTTCATATCCTCATAGGTCTTACTGATTTTTTAAAAATATATATATATTTTATTGATTTTTTACAGAGAGGGAGGGAGAGCTAGAAACGTCGATGAGAGCGAAACATCGACCAGCTGCCTCTTGCATACCCCCTACCAGGGACGTACCCACAACCAATGTACATGCCCTTGTCTGGAATTGAACCCGGGACCTTTCAGTCCGCAGACCGACGCTCTACCACTGAGCCAAACCGGCTTCGGCTCTTATGGATCTTTTCTAAGCAATTCTTTTTTTTTTTTTTAAATATATTTTATTGATATTTTACAGAGAGTAAGGGAGAGAGGGAGAGCTAGAAACGTCGATGAGAGAGAAACATCGACCAGCTGCCTCTTGCACACCCCCTACTGGGGATGTGCCCACAGCCATCGTACATGCCCCTGACCGGAATCAAACCCGGGACCTTTCAGTCCGCAGACCGACGCTCTACCACTGAGCGAAACCGGCTTCGGCTCTAGGCAATTCTTGAAAAACTTTATAAGCGTGGTTTTGAACTCTATATCCAGTTGCTTTTTGTCCTCCATTTCTGTCGTTTGTGATCTATTTCCTTGTCTCGGCATTTTCGCAGCATCCTGAGTTGGTAGCCTTAAAAGTCTGTGTTCTGCTTGGATGGGGCAGAGTTTCAGGGTGGAGCCTACAGCCTTGGCTTCTGTCAGCCACGTCAGCTACACCCTATTCAGCTCCTGAGACTCAGTGTTCCTCAGGGTCTTTTGGTACTCGCTGCAAGCACTTTTGAGAGAAAGGTGCCCCCGAGTTTCGCCTGCTACCAGTCTACGCTCTCCCCCAATGAGCCCGGAACTGGGATTCAGAGCAGTCTGGAGCTTTTGTCTTCTTCCCACCAGGGCAATCTCACGGCACAGCCAACCGTCCCTTCTCTGCGCAAAATGCACGCGCCTCCTGGCGTTCTGCCTTTACCCGCTCCCCCGGGTTCCCGCATTACAGCCCAGTCTCCCTCTGTATGAGCCTGGGTCCCCGGGGTCTGGCCTAGAACTGGGGTTCAGCACAATCTGGAGCTTTTATCTCTTTCCCGCTAGGGAATGCCAGCCAGGCACTCAGCCGCCCCCTGCTCTCCAGCTCTGTCCACTACTGGGCGCGCAGCATGTCTCCGAACCTTAGGCTTTTACAGCTCCTCTGATTTTCCTTCTGGTTTTCTCTTTCCTTCTTGTTGTAGAATTTTCAATTAGCAACTTTCCTGTAGCTCTGGGCAATGTCCATTTTATGTTTTAATTGTATTTTATTGAAATTGTTGTATGCGGCTGCAGTTAGGTGTTTACCTGTGCAGCCATCTTGGATCCTCTCTCGGGACTCCATTAATACATATTTTTAAGTGTCGATGATATGTAAACATGAATTAAAGCATGGTTGTCTGTCATAAACTCTTTGGCATATCACAAAGAATGGCTAGTAGCACTACATCCTGAGTGGTGGTTGAACGGATAGGAGGAAATAAAAAGGTGATAGGACAGCTAAAAATTTCTACTACACAAAAATCTTACCTAGATATTCAGCTATAAAAAGAAATCAGAAGTTTACAAAGGAAACAAGAGAAACAAATGCTAGTCTCAACAAACTTTAGTTTCTCCCAGTTCTATTGCTATTTCCCAATACCATCACTTTTGTCATTAAGTAGCACAGTATTTGGGCCTTGGGAACTCTTAATGTTTGTCTTTCTACCCAATGTTAACAGTCTACTATACCTGTTTTTGGATGTACTCCTTGATCTTCTCCCTCTCTCTCTGGAATGAGATCTTCTCCTTCTAGGACTTTTGGATCGTCGCCTACTCCTTGACTTAGAATGTGACCGCCTTCTAGATCTGCTTCTTGACCGTCTAAAAAAAGCCAATACGCCATATAATAAACATTTTTATTACCTTAGAAATATGAATACTGTTTGTTCAACCTGTCAAACTAGTCCATGTCCGTTGAAACTACAACAGCAAAGTTAAAAATACTGCTAGAGCATGAAAAAAAAAAAAAATCTGAATGACTTGTACTGCCTTCCTCCTACATCTGAATGTTTTTGAGTTTTGAAGTAGCAATCTATTTTAGCCCATATCTTTTCTCCATTTATACATGTGTGAACACTTATCTACACACTCTGCTAACAGGATTGGTTAGACAGTTTAACCAGTAGCTGCAAGCTGAAGAGTCAGTAAATTAAGAAGGATGTGGCACACAGAACTTATCTTTGTACAACTGAATACCAAAAGCAATCTATCTAACCTGTGTCTGGAAGATGAAGGAGTCCTCCTCCTCCTGGAGCGTGATCTTGACCTTGAGTGCCTTCGTTTTTCTTCTTTTTTATCTGGATTTAAAAGGAAAAAAAATCTGGATTTTAAAACCATCAAATAGATTAATCCCATTCAGGAATTAATAAAGTAATCCCATTAAGGGATTGTGTAAGGATTTATCTTAATTTTTAGCATTTACATTAAATCCTTAAATGTTACAAGTAATCATTTTACAATCAAAATGTTGAAGCTTATTGAAGTGACACAAAATATGTAGGGTTTTGATAGATCCAAATTATACTTCTGATTTTCGGCTAGTCAAATTAATAATTTCATTTTTTATACGCAGGAGCCTGACAAGTGTCCATAAAATAATCTATGAAAATTGTTATCTTTTAAACCCTTTATTCTAGAAATCCCCTTTTCCACTCCTAGGCATTACTTTCCCAAATTTAACTACATTTCACTGAGATTAATACATTATCCCTTTGGTCCATGGGAAAACATTCTAACCACTGAGCAAAACAGGCATGGCTGTATAATCTGTCTCTCCTCTTCCTCACCAATGTTTAATTGTGTAAATAGAGGAATGATTTGTCCAATTTCCTAGTTTTAAAATAACAGGTAACAAGAGAAATAAAGCCATTACACTTATTAACAATCATCTCAGTGAGAATGAGTCCTTTTTCACACTCAAGAGTCTTATTATTAGAATCCAAATTATTGTAATGCCATTATTAATTTAAAAAACATTGGAAAAAAGATCATACAGAAACCACTTTTAGTCATTTTGGTTATACGTTTTCACTGAACACAATTACAGCATGATGTTCTAGCTGTGGAATCAAAGATCCAGTTGTGTACTGAAAATTAAAGCTCCTGTTTGATATGTCACCTTGGGATAATATTTTGTTAAATGAGGTAACACACATAAAACACTTAGTATTAATTCATCCAATATTGTACTTATTTTCCAAATCCCATACCTACTAAAACATCTTCCTACTTACTAAGAAATAACAGTGAAAAATAAAACATTACTTAATGGGGGAACCAAAGATCAAAGCAGGAGAACAGTAGGATAAGTATTCATTCCATATCAAAAAGATAATCTGCAAAAAAAAATGAGGTCTGCTTTTCTTTAAACAAATGGCATCATCAGAAGCATCATCTCTTGGTCAAATAAAAGACTAAAATCAACTGGGCTATCGCCACATAACAACCATAAATGATAAAGAACAATCCCAAACTATAAATTAAAAATAAAAAACAAAAACCAGATCAATTATTAGATACCGGTAATCCTAGGCTCTACTAACATTTTGGAATGGATCATCTGAAGCAGGGTATGCTGAAAGTTTAGCAGTACCCCTGCCCCTCTGCCTACAGGATACATTTGGTACCAGTACAATAACTAAGTGTCTCTAAATATTTCCAAGTTTGTCTGGGTGTCAACTACAATTCCTGCCCCGCCCCCTAATGAAATCACTCTACTAAATGATCTTTTATCAGAATTTGAAAAAATTAAAAAATGACTGGAGTATTAAGTAAAAAAAAATATTCAAACTAATGCACTAATCAATATTTGCAAACAATTATGTAGTTTAGTATTCAACAAAAGTGCATAAACGTATTTTACCTGGTTCTATGGCAGCAGATATTAGGGACTGTGCTTCTCGTACTCTTTTCATGGCTTCCTCTATTTCTTTACTAGAGGTATCTGATTTCAGACTTGGTGAAACAAGACCAGCAGCTACATGATTCAATCTGAAACAGAACCAAGAATGAAATATTTTAAAACGCACAATAGCATTTCAAATAAACATGTTTCATATAACATTTTAGTAAGCCATTCCCTGGGAAAAAAGGGGAGGATTACAATTTTTTTTTTTTTTTTTTTGTAAAACCATATATAGTGTAAGTACCATTTTGAATATATTTTTTAAAATATATTTTATTGATTTTTTACAGGGATGAAGAGAGAGGGACAGAGAGTTAGAAATGTTGATGAGAATCATTGGATCAGCTGCCTTTTTTGCACACCCCCTACAGTGGATGTGCCTGCAACCAAAGTACAAGCCCTTGACCAGAATCGAACCTGGGACCTTTCAGTCCCCAGGCCAACGCTCTATCCACTAAGCCAAACTTGTTTCGACAATAATATACTAAAACTTTCTGAATATTTAAATGCCATCTGAATTTGAAAGACTCAGGATATCTGAAATAAGAAAAATGCCTACTTAATTCTGCTTAGCAAACATTCATCAAATTTCCATACACATTTTAAAAAATGCTAGTACTGGCAATATGCTAATGTTAAAGAGTTTTGAATAATGAAACGTTTCTTCATATGACCTAAAAACTTTCTACGTTATAATTCTATTGGGGAAGAGCATTTTAAGTTTGTGGAAGAAATAGGGCAGAGGCTGAAGGCATACCAAAGTTACTCATGAAATTCCGGATCAGTAAGGCTAAAGATGCACCTTTAAGGGTTTATATATGTGAGAAAAAAATTACACACAAAATTTAGGACAATAGTCATTTGTGGGGAGAGAGGGAAATGTAAATAATAATGGATGGGTATGCAAGGATTCAACTTTATTGATATTTCATTTTATAAGCTGGGTGAGACCATGTACCCACCACTTGGATTTTTTTCTCATCGTTTTTAAGGGGAAAAAAAAAAAAAAAAGCCCACAAACTAATAAATCGAAGTAATCCTACACTAAGACAAAATCAAAATCCTCTTATAGATGGACTCACAACTGGATTTTTCTTCATTTCTAGAAAACGGAATTACATATTATGTGCCTTGAGACAACTTTCTTTTTTAGCTTATAAAAAAATAACTGTTGTCTAGACATTCAAATACTAGCATAACATCAATGGAAACACAGAAAAAAAATCCTTACTTGGGATCAACAGTACTCATAAGCTTCAGCAGCTGATCTGCAGCAAGAGACTAAAAACAAAACAAAATATAACAAGAGTGAGAATATGTAAAGCATTAACGATTTCCTTTTATTTTTTCAGGATGTTGAAATGTCCGAGGAGACCCTGGCAAACCTACAAAAAATACATACCAGGCACATTAATGACTAACAAAATTACAATGCCAGGCAAATGTCATAGTAGGTTTTCTAGTAGAAAATGAAACAAAAACCAGATGACATTAGTGACTATAGTATTAATTGGATACTCAAGAGTGCTTTATCCAAGTTAAATATACTATACTAGAGGCCTGGTGCACAGAATTTGTACACTGGGGGTGGAGTTGGGTGGGTGGGGTGGGGTGTCCCCTCAGCCTGGCCTGCACCCTCTCACAATCCTGGAGCCCTCAGAGGATGTCTGATTGACATGGAGGTGGGAGAGGCTCCTGCCATCACTGCTGCACTCGCCAGCCACTTCTGGCTGAGTGGCACTTCCCCTGTGGGAGCACACTTGACCACCACGGGGAAGATCCTACGTTAACCATCTGTCCCCTGGTGGTCAATGCATGTTATAGCGACCAGTCGTTCCACTGCTGGATCAAACCCAGGTCTCCCAAGGGGTCCCAGATTGTGAGAGGGCACAAGCCAGGTTAAGGAACCCCACTGATGCACTATGGCAACCAAGGATGGACACTGGAGATTGGCCAGCTAGGGAGGGAACGGTCAGAGCATAATAAAAGCCTAATATGCTAAGTATCTGGTTGTCTAGCTGGTCCTTCAACCAATCAAACTGTAATATGTTAATGACATGCTAAGGCTGCTCAACCGATTGTTATAATGTGCACTGACCACCAGGGGGCAGATACTATGACTGGTAGGTTAGCTTGTTACTGGGGTCCAGCTGATTGGGACTGAGTGAGACAGGCTGGACATGCTCTGGAGCTCTCCCAGGGCCCCTGCCGGGTGGCCAACCTCCCACATCCCTTCCTGGGCCCGGCCTGTGCCCTCTCACAATCTGGGTCTCTCTGGGGGATGTTGGGAGAGCCAGTTTTAGCCCAATCCCGCAGGCCAGGCTGAGGGGACTCTATGGGTGCATGAATTCGTGCACCTGGCCTCTAGGGAAGATTATATAACTGAACTATCTAGTTTTTATAGAACAACTAGAGGCCTAGTGCACAAAATTCATGCGCCGATAGGGTCCCTAGGGGCTGCCAGCCAGGGCTTTCCTCTCTTCCCCTGGCCAGCCCCACTCCCTGGTTGAACTCTGGGAAGAACTCAGTCGAGGGGACAATTTGCATACTACACTTTTATTATACAGGATTACCTTCTGCTTATTTAAGACTTTATGAGGGAAAGTAATGCTTAAAAGAAACATGTAAAACACAACTCAAAGTACTTGGCCAATATAATAAATCAAAATATTTCCACAAAGGATGTCCAAAAAGATTCAAATCACAAGGAGAAAACAGAACTTCCAACTGAGCAAATGACAAAAGGAAAAAGAAAAAAACCAACGCGTCCCCCTCCCCCCCCAAAAAACCCCTCCATATCGTATTGAGGATGTGTTATATTTCTGTGAAACTACTCTCTACACTGAACTATATAAAATGAAAAACTCTTGCCTGGCCAGGTGGCTTAATTAGTTTGGGAGTATTATTCTGTATACCAAAAAAAGTTGCAGGTTCATTTTCTGCACAAGAGGCAACTGAGTGATGTTTCTCTCTTTCTCTCTCTAAAAGTCAACAACAACAACAAATCCTTGGATGAGGGGGGGGAAAAAAGTAAAATATATAAAGTAAAATTCTTTAATGGGTTAGTAGGCTAAAAATGCAGTGACCTTTTAACAAGACTATATGAGGAAAAAATACACCACCATAGCAATTAGTTATTGTCTGCTTTTTAAGTGCCCAGTAGTAGTTATAAGTAAAATAAAGTACTTAATTATAAGAATAAGCTCAAAGCTGAAGGGTATTAAATTATACCTGAGAGTTCAAGTTTGCTCCAGGAAGCCCAAGTGCAGCAAGGGCAGGATCAAGAGTAGGAGCTCCCAAAGCAGCCAATGGAACAGCGCCAATCTGTGAAATTACAAATTTTATTTATCTAAAGTATCATTTCTATTCCTTACTGTGTGTGTGTGTGTGTGTGTGGGGGGGGGGGGTGTCATCACTTATTTTCTCCTCTAAAGGGCAAAGAAGTTTAAGTCCATAGGCTATGTAATCTGTTACAACTACTTGACTTTACCAATATAGCTTGAAAACAGGCATACACAATAAACAAATAGGCATAGTTTGCCTACCTCTGGTCTCATTTTCCACCTGTCATTTATAGCACATTTATCCCTACAATCAGAATTTAGGGGGGAAAAAGTCAATATATTCTTGTGCCAATCATAAAAATTTCTTAGCTCCAAATCCAGTTCTTTGCCCTGTTTTGTGACACTTAAGGCAGCAATTCCCCATTGGCAGATGGAATCTTAAAAGCTTTATCTATCAAGTGATAAAGAACTAGAATGACATTGTGAAATGGATTTCTCTTCCTGGTTCCTATGTCCTCTTTTGAATTGTTATGTAGCACCATATAAAATATCCAATGGCCTTCACCACTCAGAATGTTTCAGAGCCATCTTCTTGGGCAGCTACCTAACAAGATCTGTGCCATGCTGGGAAACTTCTCTAGTTTCAAAGGAGATCTTAATCTTATACCAGGAGGATTGCAAAGCCCCTCATCTAAATCCTTGTATTTCTTCCTCAGCCCTAAAATTAATGGTTGCTTCCTATATCTGCAACTTATGTATTCTTAGAGTTCCTTTAGTAAGGTCTAGCTACAAGTTACTAATTCCTTATAATAAACTCTCACCATTCAAATTATTGTGTGATTGCATCTCCTTTGCAATATAATTCTGATTAATAATTTAAGACACAAACCACACAAAATCCTATAGCTTTGCAGGCAGTTGACTTCTCTACAAAAGTTCTCCTAGCTTCAATTCATTTTTAATACATATAAGTTTCCAAACTTTCTGTGATTTAACTATTTACTAAAAAGTTAAAAAACTGTGTTAATACTATTGTATAAGTTATTTCAGCTTTTACACAACTTTTACATCAAAGGTGTCTACGAATTTCTCAGGCCCACATTTTATATGTGACAATCAAAGTCATACTCATAAAAGCTGGGAATTCCTGATCTCATTCTCCTTCTATAATACCATACTGTTCACTTAACAGTTTACTAAACTATTTAGACAGGAAAAATGATTTAATTAAAGGAATGCTGTTATAAAGTTCTAGTTGAGGTTCTATCATTTGCTTTATATGTGAAACCACTGACCAGTTACAGAGTTGTTTCAATACATAACTTTTAAAGAACCTTTAGCCTATTGATATGCTTTTTATATTGCCAAGTAAATTTTCCTTCAACTTGAATATTTTATTCCCCATATCAACTATATATCCACAAATACATTTTTATTTCAAGACATCAATTTAATTAAAACACCCAGATAAGAGCAAAAGATTGAAAAACATTGGCAAAAAAGTCTGAAATTCACCTTTATTTTCTTTCCTGGTCAAAGCAAACATATTATTTTTAAGTTTGTTCAACTGAAGTCTTATGCTCCACGAAATTTTTTTCATATTACTGAGTTATTCTGAGTCAGTGGCAAAACCAATATAACAGATATTCTTAAAATGCAAACTTCTAAGAATTCTCTTTAGGATTTATGATTGCAATAGCCTTTAATATAACACATGATATCATTCTGTGAACTAGAATTATAATACTTAAAAAACTAATACCTGGGTAAGTGGGTTAGGAGTAGGCAGGAGTCCACCACCAGGCAGAAGACCTGCCACTGCATTAGCTGGTGCCAACAGAGACAAAGCCTTAGTCTCATCAGGAATAACTCCTGCAGAGAAACATCCTTGCATTAGAACACACCCTTTTGCAAGACAGAAAACACACAAAAACACCCAGAAAATGTCTCCCTGATACACCACCTGAGTTTGTTGAAAGTACTTATGTTCGCTAAAATATAAAGCTTGATTTCTATTATTATTTATCATTAATTTTATGTCAGAATGAAACTTCAATGTGTGAAAATGTTTCCTTTTTTCTCTACAAATGGTTAAGTTTCTAGAGTAAAAAAAAAATAGCACAAATACACACTACTTTTTTGTTAACACTGCCAAGATTTCATCACCTGTACTCGATTTTTAAGTCATGAACCAAACGTAAGCAAGCACAGTCGGTTCTCCAGGGGTGTGCTCTCAACTTTCAAAAGCTGTTTTATGAACAACGACTCGTGTCGGCTGCTTCACTATAAAGCACACAGAAAAATCAAGATACACAAGACAAAAAAAGTTTGATTTAGGGGTTAATAATATGGTACAGTAACTATGATTTTCTTTTACACCTACCATACAAATTTTGTAAAAATTCAGAGAAGGAAAGTATGTAAAGGAAATATTCTGTTGGAATCAAGTGTAGGGCTTTTGCTGACTCATGAAAATGAAATGTTTCTGAAGGTCTCTGAATACACACTGGATGTGTGTGGGGGAGTAGAGAGAGAGAGAGAGAGAGAGAAAGAGAGAGAGAATGGGTAAAACAACATGGCACATTCCTTACCTGTAGAGTAAAATGCTTTATATTCCAGCATGTGCCATGCTAACCATACCAAAAAATGCTGCTATACAGTGTGAGTTCAAAAGCTAACTTAAGCAAACTCCTAAAGTCGAAAACAACATGTATATCTGCTTTTAAAGCCTGATCTGTGTATTCAGATAACATCTAAGGGTCCTAAGACAAATATTTATGTATACAATTTAAATTCTATCCAACAGCAAAAGCCCTATACAGATGGATTAATCTGTTAATGTGCCCAAGCCCCCAAAATGAGAGTTCAATAATACAATTAAATTATATATTTGCAAATACCAGTAGTATTTCTGTTACATATTAAGAAACTGCATCTCATCATAAAACATACAATATGTACAGGGCACTTAAGAGAAACTGGATAAGCTGCAGAAGAAAACTGTTGGGTGGTATTTTCAGCAGGGCCTGGTATATAGTTCAGGCTGAACCAGGGAAAAGAACTGTAAAACACAACAACAAAAAAGAAAAACCACTGTTAAATAAAGGTAATGGTTCCTTCCACCTATACTGAGAAGTGCCGATAATATAAACAAATGTATACTAAACAGCACTGTTATCTTGCTTGTGTCAGAGCTGTCATCAATTTAGATACCCAGAGTTATGGAGGGGGGAGGGAGAAGATCATTTAGATATAGGGCATTAATGCATCAATATTAACAAACCTACAAAGATTATTGGGATAATCTTGCATGCAAAATTATGTCTCAAGAGGATAATATTAAGTATCAACATCTTATTCAAATTAGTGCATTTGCAACGTTTCTGGCAAACTACAATCCTCTTGAATTTATTTTGAGACACCTGATAGAAGATCTGCATCCATTAAAAAAAAAAAAAAAGTCATGCATCTGATCCTCTGATTTAAAAAAGACTATTTAAAAATAAAACTACAATTTAAAAATAGCAATGAGGCCCCTCACCAGTTAATTTTCATGCGTCAAGAGTATTTTTTTTACTGCTGCTTTGATAGAACCATGAAATACTGCATGAATGTGTAGAAATGAAAGAAAAAGAAACAGACAAAAGAAACAAACATTAACCAAGGAACCTAAATAACCCCCAAATCCATTACTATTAAGAGTTCCTTCCAAATCCAGCTACCTCAGTTTTACCAATTAAGACTATTCCTTACCGTATACTTTGTGTCTATTGTTCTAAAACATGATCAAGAAGCAACACTAAAGTGTCAAAACTAAAACTAGGGTGAGTGGTGACAAAGGGATTGAGAACATCAGTTATTTAGTGGAGATAACATTAATACAGCATACCATACCATTATTAAGTACACTAAAAATAGATTCCAGAACAAAGTATTTTGGTAATTCTAAACAAATTCCTAAATATTTCACTTTTGAAACAAATTCAGAAAAATTACCAGAGTCTAAAAGTATTTATAAAAGCCAATAATATGATGATATACTGTATTATGTCCAGGGCTTGGGAACTATGATACAATACTTAGCCAATAAGAATTCTTTAAATTTAAAGGCTAATGTTTTGCACAGTACTCACATGATTTGACCCTTGTTCCAAAAACTATCATCTATATTTTACTTATTCTAAATTTGAATTCTGTAAATTTTCTTTTGGTGGCAAGTCTTATCCTACAACAGGCAAACCGATATAAAAATAATTGCTTAATCAAAACACACTAAATCAAATGTTTATCAGCATATATATTTTAAAACCTTTAAATTGGTCCACACACTTTAATATCATCGAGATAGATGTACTATTATATAAATGCCTTTACCCCATCTATGAATGCAACTTAATTTCTTTAGAAAACCAGAGGCAATTTGTTTAAGTTTTAAGGACTAGACATTTCACAACTTTTACAAGGTATGGTGTAAATGTTCACATTGGTACTCAAAGATCTGAGATAGCATCTAAAGTAAACAATATCAAGATTCTGTTTCCACTGACCAGTACATTAAGGAAAGAGGAAAGCATTAAATCCTGGTCAGAAATAAGTTAATGCTGTAAATTAACTTAAAACCCCATAATTATTAACTAAATTAAAAATCAAGTAATTTTATATTTCAGTTATTTCTTTGATCAAAATCTATAGTTAACAAAAAAGCAAATAAAGTAGCAGTACATTGGGAACAAACTAATTATAAAATATGGCTTAGAAAATTTACAAAATGGATTAAAATAGTGCTGTCTTGTCACAGTGGCTTTTTTAAGATCCCAAAACCCTGCTCATTATTTCTGTCAAGTTACTTTAACCGCCTAAAATGTAAAAAGAAAAAGAAAATGTAGTTAACAAATGGTTACACCAGGAAAACACTTGGGGGACTTGAGTGCTTGCTGGCCTTTAGTTAATGTCTAGAATCCCCTGTAGCTGCAGAGGACCCACTGTTTTTCAGTCATCAGGAAGAGTTTTGCATTTGCCTTCTCCACTACAAAAATCACACACACAAATAACAGAGAGAAGAATTTATTATTTAGAGATATTCTAGAAAATATAGCAAGAATGAACAAGAAAATCTGGCAATAAAAACAAAACACCCAGTGCCCATCTGGCACCTAGGCTATAGGAAATCTTGAATAATCATACAAACCAAAGTCATTGCAACCCTTGGTATACTGGAATTCAATATGGGATCTTTTTGTAAAATTGTCAGTGAGGAAGCACTAGAAAAATAAAGCCCAGTCCTTTATTCAAAACAGAAATAACATGCATTTATTTGAAGGTCCCTGTGTAATGTGCATGGAATGAACCATTCACCTTTAGGCCTTTTTCATAAAACTCAATGTTACATTAACTAAGTAAATGTACTTAAGGAATTACAATTAGGGACAAGGAACTTAAAAATGTTTTAAAATAATGGAATGGTTAAATATTTTATAAAAACAGATCTGATTTCTAATTTTTAGAATTAAAATATTAAGAAAAAATATGGACCACAGTATAACAAGGGTTTCAAATTGTTAATAGCTTAGGTTTTTAACATGCTACTAACACTCACTCTAAAACTATACTGAGGTAGATGGTCATCATTGGATGCCCACATAGGTAGGTAAACAAAGCACAAACCTTCTGCATATGGTACGACTATCAATGCTCTGTCAACGAATACAGTGTTTGTCAGATGCTGAGCCACAACTGCCGAGTCTGGATCATGGAATTTAACAAAGCAGACACGGGATGAGACCGGCAAAGGTGAATCACTGAAAAACAAACAAATTGCATAAAAGTAGAGGAAAAGAATATTAGCTAAAACATTTATGTATGATTCATAAACCCACTCCTGCATTTCATAAGCAAAATAGGCAGATATTAGTAATTGCACATATTAGCTAGTTTAAAAAAATGACATCACACCTAAAGAACTATCCACTAAACTCATGAAGAGTAAATTGCACGTGTGCAATCACTGTTTAACTTTATAGTTTACCAAGTTAAAGACAGTTTGAAACTCAAGTGTAAGCGTTTGAGCAGATCACAGAAATGTCAACACTTGAAGTTAAATTACCAGTTATTTTTAAATACAGGTAGAAAGTAGTCTTGGCTTAGAAAATTTTTCAGAGCAAAAATATACAGAATTTACCAATTCAGGAACAAAAAAATATTGTGGAAAAGTGTATCTATTTGACAATCGAGTTTTCTTTTCCTGCTTACTTAATAAAATGCCCTGTCCTTTGTACAAGTTATGGCAGACTATAAGGTAAAATAAATTAAAGAGTACAGATTTTGTTTTGTTTTAAATATAGGGTGGTTCAAATTTCTGCCACAAAACTTTCTATGAAAAGGAAAGATTAAATATGGGCAGGAGTTGCTCCCTAATTCCAAACCAAAAGTTATTTTAAAACCAATGTCTTAAGGCAGCAGTAATCACATCATCCTGGTCATACATTAGAATCTTCTTTGGAGAAAAAAATACCCTAGTACTCTACTCCACAGCAATTAAATTTCTTACGAAGTACTAAGTGTTTCCTCCTTTGTTTTAATTCTGACAATTTTTACATACACCAGGGTAAAGAATCTCTGTTTTACTATAGTAAGCCAATTACATTATAAGACTCAATGAAAAGGAAAATCCTGTAGTATCTTTTAATATTAGAATGAGGCTTATTGTTAATCTTCTTAATAAACTAGATTTCCAAGTGTATATAAAAACATTTACATCAGGTCTGGTTAAGAGAGGTATTGCATGGATAAATATTTGCTGACCCCCCCCCAATTTGTGCACTAACGCGAAAATAAAAACTCATTACTTAAAACGACGACTAACATAAAGCTGTAAAACGTGAGAATTCAAACCTGTTAGAATTTGCAAGTTTATAAAAGGCACTGCCCTTAGATACTAAGCATAGATCGAATCCAAGTTCGAAGCAAAGTTGACAATATATCCATTCACATAGAATTTAAGCTACCTTGTCATAGAAGCTTACTGCTAAATGTTTTTGAAAGGCTACAATGTTTTTTAATGTAGACATACTGTTTTTTTAATGTGAAGGACCACTGGTGAAAAATTTAATGTTACATACAGAATAGCGGAAAGAATACAATTCCAGCAGTTTTAGTACTAAAGCTATATATAGCAATTTGTATTTCTTTTCTGATATCCGTATTTTTAACCATTAAATTAAAGAGCCCTTTAAATGCTCTAGGTTAGAGAACTTAGTTTACCTTAATTTTTTTTTAAAGGTAAAGTAGCATATAAGTTACTTATATGATGATTAAAGTATCTAATTTTGGTTATTGAAATATTTATATAATGAAATTGTTAACTGCAGTGGTACAGTTACCTTTAGTTACTGCATACTTTTGATACATATATACTTTGCTGGGATCACTGCCCTATCAACATTCCAGTTTTATTTCCCATTTTAAAATCCCACTAAAACCAAACATATGAAGAATACCTACTATGTATAAAAGAGTGATTCCACTCACAAGCTGCTAGGCTAAACCAAAAAAATTCTGATAAAGTTATAAAGGATACTGACATTTCAATACTAGGTCTGTCACTGATAGAGTGGGTTGGGTATAAAAAACTACCTACATGAATTACAGTTCACTCATCTGTGAAATATGGCTAAATACGTTTCCCCTCTAGATTTATAACAGCAGAGTAAGATAAAATTAGAAAGCACCTAGCATACGAACTATTTAATTGCCAACATGAATTTTAGGAACTACAATTATAGTAACCATTTTTTTTTTTAAGAGAATAAATGGGAAGAACAATGACAGATACTTTTAATGCCTATAGGGTTATCATAGTGAAGAGAGGGTTAGAATATCTGTTGTGAAGATAGGCAATTTTATCACTTGGTGAAATTATAAGCCAGCAATTTTTGGCTTAAAAGAACCAGAAAATAGATGGATTCAAGAATAAAACAAAGGGAGAATCCTTCTTGAGGAGGTGCCACTGAAATGTTTGGCATGATTCAGATCCCAAGGTCCCCCTTCTCTCCCCAAATAGGCAGGGGCTCAGTCATATGTGTAGTTTAGAACATGCTAACTCCCAGTCTTCCAAAATATTGATGATCCCAACCAATGGCTTCATATTCTAGAAGAGAGAGAATTAAGTTTAACCTGTTGCTGATTGGTGCCACAGAGAAAAACAAAGCAGTTAAATTGAAAAAAGACGAAGCAGATGTGCTGTATTTTTATACAGGTTGATCGGAAACAGATTAGGTGGCATCTGAGCAACAAAGGGAAACAAACATGTCATGGTCATATCTAGGAGAAAAGAGTTCTAGATGGATATGAATGCCTTTTTTTTGGGGGGCGGGGGGAGAGGAGATGTACACACTAACAACAACAAAAACCAAACACACACCATGTGCAAATATGTTTATAACAGTCATAATTTTATGTAATATGAGCCAATTAAGCAGATTCTAAGAGCAAAGTTTTGATATATGAACCCTTTTGGACTACTACTAAAACTCCATAGCACATCGTCACTGTAGCAAGCTTAAAGAAATTGTCTACAAAATATTTTCAAATTGTGAAGGTCAGATGACCTATTGGAGTATGAGATTAGCAACAAAAGTAGATAATTACATAAGTACTATTCATTTTGGGGAAGCCACTAAGATAATATAGCATTTACTACATTGTAATTGTACGTTTTCAGAACACAGTCTGCATGTGGGGGCACCTTATGAAGGAGTCAAAGAGCAGAAACGTGTCAATATACAACTCCTTCCAATACAGGGAATGTCCTCTTAATGTACAGTACCCCAAATCCTATTAACTGCTATCCTGGTTACATGATGAAACTACTCCTTGGATTATAAAGCAAAAAGCCAAGACTCCCTCTAAGATACTGACCATGGAATGGGTAAAAGATAAACCAGAAAGCTACTTACACCTCCCTTAGTCATCTTTTAAAAAAATGAATCATAAAAAGAGCATCTTCAAAATAAATAAAACCAAGGTCAGCAACTATAAGAAAATTCTTAACGTGTGGGACTGGAAAGAATTATTTTGTAAATAAAGCCAGTATCTCAAATACTTTGAACATAATCAAATGTGTCATTCATTTTCTGCCCATTTACGGTTTATTAAGTTTACTAACAACTTAAGGAATATGTTGTGAGAAAAACTGAGAAACAGGAAAACTTCTATTTCTGTATGTTCAAATTATGAGAGCTATTTGTCCTTCATTACCAAAGCAAATTGAGTTTCTATTCAAGATTACTACAAATACCTGTTCCTGGAACTGTATACACTTCATGCAAATAATTCTAAAATCTCTACTTATATTCCCCTAAATATTAAAATACAACAATTGAAAACACTAAGGTCCTGAAAATATTTTAAATAGAAAGTGATGAAATCCGATAACACCTAACAAATACAACAGTATGATCAACTTGTATTATTTTGGTGTACAGAGTACACAGAGTAATGATTTATCACATCCAACAAAACAGCAGATTCCTATTTCCTGTTTAGAACTCAAGTGAAATCATAAAACTAAGTGGGATGGGAGAATATACTAAAAATAACATTTGAATTTTCACCCTTCCCAAAGAGTGCAGATTCTCTTACTCCAAATGTTTGTTCTAGTAATTATTACATCTTATCTAGCGTCATAGCTTCTTTACAATTCACTCAGCTAATACTTTCGCAATAAAAATGTGAGACAACAGGATAAAAAAAACACCACACTCTCTAAATTAAAAATTTAGAACTGTAAAACATAACTATATATATTATTTAAGTAAAGGAAAACTCTAGCTTTCAGCTATAACCCATTTTTTTTGTCATTAAATGTACAGACTATTAATAGATTAACTCTGTATGTATTCAGTGGGCCAGAATCCAAACAGCAATTTCTAGCAATAAGTGAACGATCACCTACAAAGTTCAATAATAAATTTATATACCAATTGGCAACTCTGTTACTTTCCAAAGAACTCAAAGAAACAACTTAAAAAAATTAATTAAAACACATAAAATGCAGTTATGCTTTAGTTGCTCAAAAACAACGCTACTGGCACAATTGAAGGTGGCGGGGGTTTGAGATTAAGAGCCAGTGACCCCTCCTAACCCCCCAAACCATGGCCCTGCCTCTGTAGGAGGCCCGATGTGCAGATTTTTTGGAAGTAAATGCAAAGCCAGCTCAGCTAAAGCTACCGGCCCACGGAAGCACCGACAAGGGCCTAGGAAACGGTGTGGTTAGGCCCCGGCTGGGAGGAGCTAGCAACAGCGGCGCTGGTGGACGATACTCACTCCGGCGGGAAGAGGCGCAGTTCGTCGATCTTGCCTAGGAAACCGAAGAGGGTCCGCATCTGCTCAGAGCTAGCGCTCGGGGAGACATTAGTCACCTGGATCACCTCGGTGCCGCCGCCGCCGCCGCCGCCGCCCGGCCCGCCGCTCGGGCCCGGGCCCGCAGTGCTGGGGACGACGGTAGTGGTGCTCATGGCGCTGCTCGCTCCTGCTTTAACACATCAAACACACAACAAACAGTGAGAGGGAGGGGAAAGAGGAACCGTTCGCCGGAGAGGAGACGGGAGGGCGTCCTCTGTTACAGCCGCTGCTGCCGCCTCCGCCGCCGTTTCTCCGCCCCGCCGCTCGCCGGGGGGAGGGGAGAGCGCGCGAGAAGGGGGCCCACGAGAAAACAAACGGCCTCGCCTCCAACGCCCGCGATGGAGGGCCCACTTCCCCACAATGCCTAGCGGCACCCGGGCGGCACCGTCGGCTCCGCCCCGCGCAGGCGCAGCAAGCCTCAGCTCGCAGCCGGGAGGTCTGGAGAGGCTCCGCGGTTTAGTGAAAGACGTCATCTCTTTCGTCCTGCTCCTCCCTCTTTTTAAAAAGAAAAGTGGATTTTTTTAAGGCAATATTCACTCCCTTGCAAAATAAACATGCACACTTTTGTAACTATTCTTGTTAAAAACGCCCACGATATTTCTATATACAGACATTTCAACTACAGATCTGTGGAGTTAACTAATGAAATTTCCACCCTACCTACCAAGATTTTCCTTTCTACCAATATAAAATTTTTGCATCTTGGTAACATTAAATTGTAATAATTTTCTTGGCCAGTAAACCTTCAAAAATGTGTATTTTAATGCTACACTTATTAGTGCTTTATAAGCTAATTTTATTTTATCAGGTTGACTATTTAAGAGCACATTGTGCTGTACCTAAATATATTTAAGTATAAGATCTGAAAACTAGAGAAAAAACTTTTACGTGAGTCTTTTTGCTTAATAATTTCTGAAGCTTTTGACTATAAAAAGATCCTTGCATAATTTTTCAACCACCTCTAAATTATTTTTCTTTCATCTAGTGTTATTTAATGACTATAAGTTCCCAAACCTGACAAAATATTTCATTTCACTGTGTCTTTATACAAGTTATTAATGACCTCCCTCATTTTATCTAACTGACATCTTTCGTAGGATTTTCTTCCCTCACCGCCACTTCTGCAAGCAGTTAGGCCTTCCTCTTCTCGGCTTAACAACAATTTACCTTGTTATATTGACATGCCCCCCTCTGCCCCCCAGCAAAGCTGTGAATTTTCTGGGTCAGTTTAGAACAGTTTCACTAAAAAAGAGATGTTGACAGGAAGGCTGGTCAACAACCTTAATTGCTTTAACCTTTAGTTGAGATATTGTTAGCTAAAGCAGAATCTACCTTGTTTGTTCTGTGAAAGTTTCTGTTATTTCCTGCCTAATGGCTACATGTAAATGTCTGTTCATGTTGCCTGAGATGGTTTCCCCAAAGCCTCAATAAAGGGGATGGCAGGGCCAGAGCAAGAGTAGTTCTCCCACTAGAGTTGGACTACCGCCTGGCCCCCCATACCACCAAATTGAATTTCTTAAAGTCTCTCTTCATTTGTGTGTGGCCCTTCTCCAGAACCTGAACCCTGAATTGGAACTCTTTCTATGCGGGCCGTGAAAGAGTCCTATATGCATTGACCACCAGGAGGCACGTACAGAACATGGCGGGCATTGGCAGCAGGTGCCAGGGCACAGAACATGGGGGATGCTGCCATGGTGGGATGGTGGAGCAACTGAGCGGGGCACCAGGCCAAGGCAGGGTACCCAGCGCTATCATTGGGGCAAGCCTCCCACTCGGCAGCGGGAGGGGCCAGGCAGGGGCATGGAGAATGGGATGAGACCTGTTCCTGTGCCCATAGCAGCCTTGTAGCCCACAGTTCCTTTCAAGGTACACAAATCCGTGCACTAGGCCCCTAGTTGTTAAATAATTAACCTGATCCTGAATATTTTTGGAGGTTAACACCTGAGGCTTTATGGAATATTTCCATTACTAAATACCTGTATGAAATAATGCAGTCAAGAGTATAATTCTTGAGAGATCAGAACACAAAGTTATTGAGATTTGATGTAGAGTCAGCTGGCCTAATTTACTTACTATCTAAGTTATTTCTGCTAGCTCTTATACAAAACAGGATGGATTGGTGAATGTAAGCCTCAGCAAAATTACAAATTACAACTAAATCTATGTCAGCCACAAATGTATATGTCTGAATATAAAAATGTAACTTATCATTTTGAAAATGACATATTTAACTGCCATCTACAGATTCTTAACAGTTTGATAAAAATAATAATTTGTGTATCATGCCCAGCCGGTATGCCTCAGTGGTTGTGTCAAACTATGAATCAGTTGGTCATGGTTCCATTCCAGGTCAGGGCACATGCCTGGCTTGTGGGCTTGATCCCCAGTAGGAGACCTGCTGGATGGCAGTCGATCAATGATTCTTTTTCATCATTGATGTTCCTCTCCTTCTCTGAAGTCAATAAAAATATATTTTTAAAAAAGATCTCATATATGAAAGAATGAAACTAGACCCCTATATAACACTACTCACAAAAAGTAACTCAAAATGGATTAAAGACCTGTAACCATAAAACTCCTAGAAAAGAACATAGTAAAAAAGCCCCTTGACATTGGACTTGGCAATGATTTTTTTCATGGGACACCAAAACACAAACAATAAAATAAAAATAAACACATGGGACTACATCAAACTAAAAAGCTTCTGCATAGCAAAGGAAACCGTCACGAAAATGAAAAGACAACCTATGGAATAAGAAAAGATATCTGCAAAAACTATATATCTGAAAAGAAGTTAATATCTAAATTATACAGGGAAGTCATATAACAGGAAAAAACAAATATAGTAATCAATTAAAAAACGGGCAAAGGATCTGAATAGACATTTATCTAAAGAAGATATATGGCTGGGACCAGTTTGGCTCAATGGATAGAGCGTCGGCTTGGGGACTGAAGGGTCCCGGGTTCAATTCCGGTCAAGGGCATGTACTTTGATTGCGGGCAGATCCCAGGTGTGTGTGTGCAAGAGGCAGCTGATCGATGACTCTCATCGATGTTTCTAACTCTCTATCTCTCTCCTTTCCTCTCTGTACAAAATCAATAAAATATATTTAAAAAAAAAAGATATATGAATAGCCAATTGGCAAACATAAAAATCCCCAGCATCCCCAATCTTTAGGAAAATACAAATCAAAACCAAAAAGACTGGTGATATATGCTGGTGAGGACATGGAGAAAGAGTAATCCTTGTGTACTACTGGTGAGACTGTAAATTGGTATAGACACTATGGGAAATAATATGCAGGCTCCTGAAAAAAATTCAAAATAGAATTGCCATATAACCCAACAATCCCACTTCTGGGAATATATCCAAAGGAAACAAAAGACTATGTTAAAGAGAGATCTGCATCCCATGTTCTTAGAAGCATTGTTTATAATAGCTCAGACATAGAAACAGCCAAGTGTCCATGGATGAATGTACACACACACACACACACACACACACACACACACACTCTCTCTCTCTCTCTCTCTCTCAAATATTATTCAGCAATAAAAAAGTAAATCCTATCATTTGCAAACCTTGGATGGACCTTGGGGCATTATGCTAAATGAATTATGTCAGACAAAGAAAGATAAATACTATATGACATCACAATAGAATCTAAAACAAACAAACAAACAAACAAAATAAGTCATAGAAAAAGAGATAGGATTAGTAATTACCAGAAAGTGTGAAAGAAGGTAGTTGTCAGGTACAAACTTCCAGATATAAAATAAATACTAGGGATATAGTACACAACATGATGACAATACTTAACACTGCTGTGTGGTATGTATGAAAATTATTGAAAGAGTAGATCCCAAGAGTTCTCATCACAATGAAAAAAATCTTGTTCGTTATTTCTATATGAGATGGATGTTAACTAAACTTATTTAATCATTTCAAGTCAAACCTTTATGCTGTACAAGCTAAACTTACACTATAATTCAGTTATCATCTACAATAAAAAGCTAATATGCTAATTAGACAGGACAGTGTAACAACCATCCAGAAGACCTTCCAGAATGAACAGTGGGTGGGGGCAGGGCTGAGGGGCTGCGAGGGCCAAGCCCCTTGTACAAATTTTGTGAATCGGGCCTCTAGTATCTCAATAAAAAACAACAAAAGAAAACCACATGTAGCAAAGACATTTCTAAGAAAAAAACACACACCATATATTTACATAGAAGTTCTCCAATTTAAAAACAGAACAGGCACAGATATCACTCTATCTACTGGATAACAAGTTCTCAGTTGCCAAAGTTGCCACCTCTGTTGTTAAATACCTTCTTACCCACTAATGGAAAAGATGGTGGAGTCCTGCAAATTGACACAATTTTGTATATCTGCAAAAGTAACAGGTCTTTTATAAAATTAGTTGTTAAGTAGATCTTTTTGTCTAACAAATACACTTTATGAGGACAGGAAAGACAATGTATTAATCTTTGTGTTTCTAATACCCAATAATATTATATTGGAACTAATTTAGCATTTGACAAAAACTTACGAATATCATCTATGTGCTGGAAACTTTACAAATGCTTCACATAATCTGTTAAATAAAGGCTGGGTGAATGAAGACAGGAATACATTTGTTTGATTTACAAGGAAATTTGATTGAGATACATTCTCAAAGTATTTGGCTATAGACAGCAATAAGAAAAACCTAGGAAATAAATTACTACTTACAAATATGTAACTTTATTTATTTTAAAAGCAAAATTGTAAATCTCATGCTCCCCTTTCTTCTGCTCTATCTAAATGAAAGGGAGAGACTAAAGAATGAGTTAGCACTAGGGGATGACGGATGGATGGATGGACACACACATCAAGACATAATAAAAGTCTAAGTTTATTTCCAAATACTTACTTCGTATTGTTCAACTTATTAACAGTAGGGATTCTAGACCTATATTTTAAAATTGAGAGCAAAGGGTCTGTGAGCACTTGGAAATTAAAGGCAAAATCTGTATATGCCCATTTTTTTCAAAGCTTTATTTTTATGATTAACATAGAGAAAAAAAAGTAGTAGTTTGAACATTAAGATACTGCTATATCCATATGCACAGT